AAAAAAAAACTATGTGTATATGCATTTATGTACGTACACATTTTTCGTCACACAAGTCATCATACTTTCGTTGACCGTACCGAAGCGACACAATCATTTGGAAAGATCTACTATCATATAGATCTATATGCATATATGTATACATAAATATGACATGAACATGCTTCATGTTCTAAATTTCTTGAAACATTAACCACCAGGGTTATTGTTCATGTTTACACGCGTCATTAGTGACACCCTCACGAAGAAATTCAGCATACACATATACATATATACATATACGCATATAGAAGTAGCATATATATATATATATATAGATCATGAAAGATGAACCGTTTGTTCGTATTTTATGATACATACTGTAATAAATTATAACCTTGTGTTGAGTTTCATTGATACGAGAAATTAAATACATGGGAAATTTTTCCAAAATGCAAACAACCATCATATATGGGATTTTAATTTCTTGAGTAGAATTTGAAAGACGAACATAGGGATACATATAGATTCATAAATCTAATTAATTCAAACGAAAACACCCATAGAAAAAAGAAAAATCCAGAAGAAAAGAGAGAAGCAAATAGAAGAACAAAAGGTATTCAAAAGTAAAAGAAATACAAAAAGAGAAGAGATAAGGTAAACAAAAGACACACTTGATGATTTGATGACTTTCGAGATGAAGATCGCTTTGAAGCAGCGAAGGATCGGACCGAGACGCTTGATTCCCCTTTTGGATCTCGTACGCACACGTGGATGATGTTACAAACATATGATGATGATGACGATCAAGAATCGATCTAAATGAAAAAGTAGAGATAGATGAGGTAAACCCTAATCTCAAAATCTCGATGATGATGATAATCAACAACTTCTTCTCCTTTTTCTTGGGATTCTTGATCTTGGGTTTGTATGATTATGTCTTCTTCTTGGGTATTGGAACTTGGGAGGTGAAGAGAAAGAAGAAGGAGAAGAAGACGACGAAGATGAAGATGATAATTCATCATCATCACTATCATCATGATGTGGGGAATTAAAGTGGAGAAAGAGAGAGAGAAGTGAGGTTGTAATGATGATGAGGGATGAATAGAAGTCAGAGGTAGGGGAGGAAAATTATCATTACAACTTTGAACAAAATGTTTTCTAGCTTCCCTTTTTTTTCTTGGGCTTCCAATAAATATCCTAACCCTATCTTATGCCCTCGATCCTTTCTCTCTCTAGAGTTATGAGGAGGGAGACACAGAGAAATGCCTTTGTCACAACACTTAGGGGTATTATTTTTTTTTAATTGCCTATCCAATACTATGATCCATAAGGGAAAAAGTGAAAGAAACATGCTATCTGCTTTTGTTATATTTTTTTAACATGCATAACCCTCTAACCTTTTGGATTTTGGTAACATAAAAAAAAAACTAATTGAGTTATATTTTCTAACCATTAGCATAATTAATTTTAGGAATCTTGTTTATAATTTATTTTTTGTTTCGTAATTCACCATAAGAACATATATAGTTTTTTTCATATGCTATTATGATATTGCAACCAAGTTTATTTAATGATAGTTAACTGTATCAAATATATGTTTCCATAATTTCATATTCGACCCTTCATTTAAAAATATTGTATTAGAAATAAAGCAACAAATTTTAGATTAAACTTCAATAAATTAATAAAAAAACTCAAAACTTAAATTTCTGGTTTCGGTCAGATCAAAATCTTAAAAGCGAAGCAAACAGTATGTTTTGAAAAAGACAGTAAAACTTCTTTGAATTAGTATAATTGCACTATTAATTAGAGCTTCATTTTATAAATATGGTTTAAAAGAATTATCTAACCAATAGAACTATAATATATTAGCATTTAATATATATTTATTGATATTATGGATCTTCGACACTTTCTACTGGTCAAGTATGGAGTATAACAAAAATCCTTCGACCTCCAACATATTCAGCTTGTGGCGAAAGAAAGATATATACGTGCTTATTGTTTCGTTTCAATATCAAACAGATATGTAGTTTGGTATTTTATAATTATTTCCCAAAATCTTCACACAAATCATGACATTTTTGTATTTCTTCCCTTTTATAACGTAATTGATACTCGTTCATATGCTCCAGTCGTACCACCAGGCACCAACGTATGCTGTTTTATAGTTCATTTACATTTTAAAGTAACGAAAAAAAAGTTGAAGGATGGATCAAACTTTTTGATCGATCGGCCTTATTCTAAAAGCACATGGATATTCTTTCCATATGCAAAACATAATGTCGAATGTCCCCATTAACCAACTTTTGCAGTTCAATCTCAGTGCTTTTTTTTCTTACTTTTAATTGATTAATATCCAATATTCTAAGTTAAAGGTTTCTTTCCACCAAATTTGACATGACATTGAACTGTAATTATACAAATACGCTAAGTTACAATTTGAGTTAAATTGCAACAGGATCTAATATATATAATTGCTGGCAATAAGAAAATTCCAGAATCACTATTTACTTCGAGTTTCACAAACTGTGTTCTGAGTTTGATTTATCAAAAAACGTATCGGGTTCGCTAGTGTTTTTTAGTAACTTTTGTTAGTTTAGATCAGATTATTCATCTCAGAAAACAATTACACTACAAGGAAAAAAGTCCATTTCCCACAAGTCGTTTCTAGTCATTATTGCCTAAAACTCACTCAAGCAAGTTAAGGCTTGATTACGTTATAATTCAATTAATTTACATGTTTCATTGTGTTGATCAAAGTGATAATTTGAGATATTGTCTGTTTTGGTCAGACTGCGAATGGACTCTTAGCTATTGCAAACAAGATTTGGAATTGTAATTTGTACTATATACCCAAATTTTGACTACTAAAGCTCATAGTAAAAATGTAGTTCATTCTATATATATTCCACCATTTTACTAATCCTATTCCTACCAACAAACTTACCTACTCTCACCATTTTTTATTTATTTATCAATTACCGCAAATAATTAATACTTGTCTTTTTATTTTTTTGTTCAACTAATGGTATTGTCGTTCTAGTCAACTGAATTTACGGACGAAAGGCAAAAGCTGTTTGTGACTGTATTTGGGGAGTAAATAGATTTACTAAATTGTTAATAACACATAAACTTTATTGGGTTTAGTTAAAGAAGGAAAATGGAATGGCAGTCCTTTTCTTGTATAAACCATATGTTATCTATGTTTATATATTAAAATTAAAATTTCAAAGTGATGACAGTCAGACTCAGAGGACAATAAAAAAAAGTAAAGACAGAGGAATCAAAATCATGAAACTCAGGAAAGGCAGTGCCTTGAAACCAGAGAGAGAGGGAATGAGGTTTTTTTTACCTGTAAAAGGCAACCTCAAATGCAATTATCTTTCTGCCATGTTTTAAAAATATTCTTCACAGAATAAAATATTTCTAGATTAATTCAGACCCAAAAAAAGTTTAACTTAATAAAGCAATGAGGCTTCTTGGAATTCGGAATTTCTCCCTCAAAAGTGCTAAAATGTCAGCGTTCTTATTATAGAATTATTTTTATGTAAATAATTTAGTACTAGTATATTATTGATATGCGATATGTGCAATGCGCATGATATTTGTTTTTGTTGTTGTTGTTGTCCAACTCATGGATTGCTAAGAACAAATAAGTCTTATAACGTTACGAAAACCACGAAATGGTACAATATCGATTTTGTTTTCTAGATTCCTTTGCGAGTTTGTCTATTACACACACAAGACTTCTTGGAGCGTATTTTAAAAATAAAACATGTAGCAGATGCCAAAGCCAGATGAATATACTGGATTAAGATAGCAATAGAGCCATGAGATTCTTGCATCAAACCTACCTCTACGGCTCTCTACCATTCAAATGCAGAGCATGCATCATAACATTTTGCAGTCTCCTACAAATGTTATAACAACTTTACCTATAGCATAACAAGTAAGTTACTTTTGTTTATAAGAATTTCGGTTAATTTTTGTTGGACACGTTGACATGATTCATTTAGTAATCTTTTTTTTTTTTTGATGGTTTGGTTGATAAAAGAAAATCATTGTCTCCTACAACTTCTTATTATTCTTCTTTCTAAAAAATAATAATATTCATATCATATTTTTGCAAAGAGATAATAAATTAGTTGATGAGTTATTTATACTGAAGCACACTTTCGCCACTTTGCTTTTCGAAATAGGCACTTTCTGAAACCACAGCACTTTGGCGAGTAGTGTGCCATATGAAAATCCTAAAATACCCTTTACTTCCGTTACCATTAAATTGTTACGGCGCAGTTAAGTTATTTTAACCAATTGTGTTTGTTTTTAAAAAACGTAGGAGTATGTATTGTTGCAAGTGAGTTTTGTCGGCCGGCGACGCTTACTGACGTTTAGGTTTGGTCCTTTACAAAATAATTATGTCAAAATTGACGGAACCCATTCTGTTTTTCCCTCCGATTTGTCTTAATTCGAGCCCGTGGTCTTTGTTTGAGACAGCCGATTTTACCAAAAAATGAATTTCCGATCTATGTATGAACAAGCGACACTAGATTTTCCAACGCTGGACGGAAGGTCATTTATCGATACTTTTAACTTAGTCGGAAATTGCTCAGGTACTTCGTGTCCCAAGGGCGAACTACTATGAGAGCGTCGTTGTGTTGCGCAATCTTGTACACATGGACGAGGCATCATATTCAAGTTTTGGTGGCCGGATGTGTGTACGAATCCCGATAAATTAGGCAGGAGTTCAGATATGAATATATTTCTCTTAAGACTGATGGAGTTAGCATTTATTGCTTCCCCTGTTATGTGGCTGTGGGAGCTTCCGTACAGTGTTGGCAGGTGTATAAAAAAGATTAGGTTAGCCCTTAATGTTGTTCAACGCCTCCTTGAGCAGACCTCTATGTTCAAGGGTTTTCTGGCGCACAACAATGACCGAACATTGTCTGGTTATTTGTGGTGAGTGGGAGTCTGGTCAAGGTGGAAAGTGAGATTTTGCTACAGACACGAGCCGGATGTCTAGGATAGTGGAAGTTAGAGTTGGAATGAGTTTACTAGAGCTGAAGACGGCTGTAGTGAAGGAGTTCTTCCCCGAGGCTGTGGATTCTGTTGAAGCTTCTTTGAGTTACTGGCCTCCGAACACGACAGAGTTGGCAACAGGGATTACGACACCCCCTGTTTTGGTAACAAATAACAGAGCAGTTGTGTTTTTCTTCAGACATTTCATGGTAAGTAAGTCCATGAATTTATTTGTTTCTTTTTCCGGGGATAGTGGCTAAGCTATTAGGGAGGATTGTGATAGGAGAGTGAAAGGCTTTACAACACCCGCCGCACATAGGAACAATTTTAACTTCTACGAAGAGGGCTCTGCTTCTGAGAGACTTAGGTCGAAGACTTCTTTCGTTGGGGGCCAAAACATTTCTAGAGACAATGAGGGAGCAATTCCCGGGCCACTGTCTAAGCGGCGGTTATGTGGAAGTTCTTCCGGTAGCCAGGCGCACAATGGTGGTGCGCAGAGAGTAGGTTCTTACGCTGTCCCTTTCGACCTGGATGAGGTAGAAATTTTAAAGGTGGTGGAGACGGCAGAGGAGAAATACTTCAGTGAGAAGGTTATTAGAAGGAGCAAAAGTTCTAGCCTGGGTACTGATGATTCGGATTCGAAAGATTATTGTGGGGAATTAGAGGACGATCGCGAGGTAATGCATGTTGGATACAACAGAGAGTTCTGGGAGTCACTAATTGATGACCCTTTGGCCGACTCTGACGCTGCCGACGTGATGTGCCCCCGACGGATGGATTCGATGGTAAAGCAGCCGTGCTGGGAGTGCAGAGAGAAGTGTTGTGTAGCACGAACGATGCGTTTGACCATCGCGTGCGAGTTGGTGGCGATCTTTATCGCGACGATATGTTTAAAAAGGAAGCGTCTCCGTTTACGTTTTCCGGTACCGCTGGTGACGGTTCTGGAGGTGAAGGCTCCTCTGCTAATCGGGACCCGTTTGTGCCTTTAGACGGTGGTCAAACTCCACATGGCCATGGTGTGGGCGAGGAAGAAGTGCATGGACAGTTTAATGGTGGTCAGGGCGATTGTGGTTACAAAGGTAGTGGTCAGTTTTCTGGGTGTGTGAGTGGTGGTCATGTGCCAACTCCTTCCACTCCTGTGCGTGTGAAAGACATAAGACCGCTGCAATTGATAGACGATGAGGAGTTCGATATCCCGCCTCTTTTCGACGACACTCAGTATGTAAGCGAAGATATTCCGGATCTAGACATTGGCGGATTGGACGATGGTATTTACGTTGGGAAGCTATTTGCGAGCAAAGAGGAATGTCATATTGCTCTGGCTATTTATGCGATTAAGGGGATGTTTACTTTCAGGCAGAGTAGGACCAAACATCATTACTTTGTGTTGAGTTGTGTTGATACAAACTGTGATTGGAGAGTGTTTTGCCGTGAGGTCGGAGACTGCGGTTACTACGAGATTAAGAAAGCTGAGTTAGAGCACACTTGTGATCGTGATACATGTAATGCCTACAAGAAGAAGGCGTCTTCCAGAGTGATCGCTGCTGTGTTTAAAGCGAAGTACGGAGACCCGGACCATGGACCTAGGGCTGCAGATTTGCAGCAGTTGGTGTTGGAGGTCCTTAGAGTTAGTGCTAGTTACATGACTTGCTATAGGGAGAAGGCTAAAGCCATCGGTTCTATTCGTGGGTCCGATGAGGATTCGTATCTAGATCTGCCTATGCATTTGCATTTGTTGAAGCTTGCGAATCCCGGTACAGTAGCTGATCTGGAGACAGAGACTGACGAAAACAGATATGTCAGATTCCTTTACGGATTTGTTTCATTCTACGCTTCTATCATTGGGTTTAGGAAGCTCAGACCTGTAGTGGTATTGGATGGTACTCATCTGTGGGGCAAGAATAAAGGTGTTCGGCTTACGGCTTGTGGGCAAGATGCTAATTTTCAGGTGTTTCCTCTGGCGTATGCCATGGTTGACGGGGAGAACAACGAGTCTAGGTGTTGGTTTTTGCAGAAGCTAGAGCGTATTTTAGCGGACAGTCCTAATATAACAATAATATATGTCCGTCATTTGTCTATATACAAAGCAGTTTAAGTTGGCGTATCCTAAAGCGAGACATGGATGTTGCATTGTTCATTTTGCTAGGAACGTTAGTGCCCGGTTCAATAATAAGGGATTGTCGAAGTTGGTTACTGCTGCCGCTTTTGCATACCGAGTTGGTTCATTTAAGCAAATGTTTGAAAAAATCCAAACGACAAGTGGAGAATGCGCTAGTTATCTCGAGAAAGTCGGCATGTCTCACTGGACCAGGGTTTACTGTCAAGGATAGAGGTATAATTTGATGACAAGTAATGTGTGCGAGCAGTTAAATAAGGCTTTGAAGAGGGGCCGGGGGTCACCAATAGTGGAGGAGGAAGAAATCTCTTAAATACTAGGGGAAGGTTACACCGGAGGTGGACAAGGTCATGACGAAGCACATGGAAGAAGTGAGAGGAAGTCGACTTAACGAAATCACGGACTGGAGATGCCAAGTGGTTGGACCTTCTGGGGAGCAAAATTCAGTTAATATGACTGACCGTAAGTGTTCATGTAAGAAATATGATCGTTTGAAGATACCATGCGGGCACGGCCTGCTCGTGGGTGATAGCTTAGGACTACTTCCTAGCACTTTAGTCGGGGCGACATATAGGGTAGGTAACTGGCGAGAGACGTATGCAGGTGTTATCAGCCCAATTATTAGCAAGGGGGATGAAGAAGTTCCGGCTGAGATTAGCAAGCTTGTTCTGCTTCCTCCAAGAAGCCGACGCGGTGCGGGAAGAAGGAAGACTGAGAGAATTCCTTCCGTCGGGGAGATGCCTGTAAGTTTTTATTTTCGTAGTATGTTATTGGGATTGGTTTATTATATGTTGAGTTGTAGAGTTTTGAATTGCTTGCAGGTGGCTCTTGTTAAGAAGGAAGTCCCGAATAGGTGTTCTAAATGCTTACAGCCTAGGCATAACAGGACTAGCTGTATGAAGCAAAAGTGATTGATGGAGGTTGTTCGTCCTGATTTTTGATTTGTGTGAGGGATACATTTTTGTGTGGAGCATAAGTCCGAAGCTGGTGTATTTTTTTGCGGAGTTGTGTCGTTTGCTATTTTGTCATTTCATGTTTCCTGTTTGGACATTTCCATGTATTTTGGAATCTTTTGTGGTGAATTAGCTGTTGTTTTCTATATTGTCTTTTTTACATATATGTTGAAGGTATGTTGTTTGTAGGCCTGGAAAACCTGTTTTTCCCCCTTTATTGACTGACCACTGGATTTGGAACAGTAAGCGTTGAACATTGTTTGCCGGATGTTTAACTGCCGGGTCATGGTCAATTGTATTTGTTTCTGTACAAAATTTTAGTGGGCATTTGTGTTTATTTTATTGAAGCCCAGTCTGGTGGCTACTAGGGTTGTGGTTGAGTCGGTTATATGTATTTTGTTGTCGCCGGTAATGTTATTTTTGAATTGTCCCCTGAAATAACGGATAAAATGGATGGTTATCGAGGTTAGGTTGCTGCTGTCAGTTCGTCGAGTGAGAGCTTTGGATCTATGGAGGGGCCGCCGTGTTTCTGCAACAGGGTCACTGTGGTCGCTAAATCTTGGACAAACGATAATCCTGGGCGGAGATATTTCAGGTGCGATACGCATGGATTTCTCAGGTGGCGGGACATGGAGAAACCACATGGTTGGCAGAAGCAAAGTCTTATGGAGGCGAGGGATCAGATCCCGCGTCAAGCAACCGAAAACAAGGAGTTGAAGGCGGTGGTGATGCAGTTGAAGAAAACAAAAAGCGTAGGTGTGGCTATGGAGGGTCTTGAGGATGAGTTCAGTTGCTCGGTTGATGAATTGAAGATTGAGTCATCGTCGAAGTATAATGCGTCGAAGGAGCGCGAGGAGCTGTTGCTGCATTTTCTGTTGATGTCTTGGGGTGCTTTCGTGTTGGTGATTGCTTTGGTGATTGTGTTGAGGAAGCATTAGTTACCGTCTTAGTAGTTAGTCTATGTTGCTAGATTTTAGTGTACCCGTCGTTTGATGTGTTTGGATGTATGTTTGCGTAATGGTGGAAACTATTTGACCATCTTGTGACTGACCACGCTGGCTTGACCATTGATAGATGGCATTTATATATCGTAGTACCTGTTCGTACGTTTCGTATGATGTGTATACCCTAGTTGACCACGGTCTGTGTTACCACAAGGGAATGAACATTGCTAATGTGACATGTATTGCTACCGCGCGGTGGGTAACAATTTGGTTAATGTCCATGGAATGCGGCTGTTTTGCAAGAAGGTATCTGAAGGCTGTATAGATTAGAAGTTCTCCATATCACACTATCTATCCGCACATTTGCTAGAATGTGTATTGTAATTTTGACCAGCGTATAAGTAACCAGAAACGACTGTCCATTGCAAGTCTACCTATTTTCTGACCACTGAAAGCGTAGACTATTAAACAGCAGTTTTGAAATTAAGTGCATTGTTTTAAGGATTTTCATCGCCCCTGCATATGTTTGGGTAAAAGAGAGTAGGAGGAAGTCTTTGCAGAAGCATAGTTAAGTCTTATGTTTATAAAGAAAAGGCCGTAGTGGAGAAATGGTGAACTCCCCTGTGGACTTCTAGTAGAGAGGTATGACTAGGTCTCTGTAAAGGTCTAGGGCGTATTGTTTGCGGAATTGGTCAATGATCTCGTCAGTGAAGCCGAACATGTGATGATCTGGATCCCCGGCAGTGTGCATCTCCATGAACTTAATGGCTACGGGCCCGCAGTCGCCGCTGCGTTTGTTCTGGTACAAATCTGGTACTCGGTTCCAGGTGTAACTTGTCAAGCCGTTTTGCTGGGATGCGGCGGGACAGAGGCTGTTAACAGCGTAAGGGAGCATGTCGCAGATTGGTCATAACCACTTCTCAACGTCGCGGTCGCCTTTCAGAGGTGGATATGGGTCTAGCACTTCGATGTGGCTAAGGCTGAGGTTGATAGCTAATCCGACCCAGTGTGATGCAGATCAGCACATGGGGACGTATACGGTGTCGGTGTCCTTCACCCAAGTCCTTCCTTCCGCGTTGACGTAACGGCGGATGTCGTCCCATCTGAAGTTTGCCTTGTTTCTTGACATGCGGAACTTCCTATCTCTGGCTAGTAAAATTTCTAGTAGCTCTGGAGGGCAGTAAGCTGCGGAGTCTTGGTGTCCCCCGTATTCTCTCGTTGCTAGCCATTTAATCAAAACCTCCATGTGCTGAGGTGGAGAAGTAGAAGGATGGTAAGGTTTCGTAAGTATTTGATAACATTATAATGTTAAGAAATTACCAAAGTGGATGTCCATTGTTATGGTTTTGATAGTTCTAGAAGGAAGCTGCTGTCGAGGACCGAGCCTAATTGTGTGAAGTGCCGCCTGTGTATGAAGACAAAGTATGATGTAGATTTTTTTCTGAAAGTACTTAGTTGTGCGTTAGGTGTGAAGGGCTTACACTGCCGGAAAAGATGTGAATGTGGCTTCTAGGAGCGTCCAGTTGGCCAGATCAAGTGGCTGTATTGGGCCGGATTGGGGATTAAACTTGGATTGTTTAATCGTGGAAGCCAAGTCCAACTCCATTTGTGACGGATGATGTTGGTATGGAGACGGAGGTGGGGAGGAGTCGGTAACTTGCTGAGGTTCGTGTTGGTCGTTGTTGATTTTGTTGACTCTGCGCCGAAGTTTTTGGGGTTTGTGTTCGGAACGATGTTCTATCTATGAAGTGTGTTAGTAAGTTAAAAAGCAGTTACTTTGAGTTATGTAGAAGAAGCTGACCTCTTTTTCAGGAGGTGTGTTGATTGGGCTCCTTGTACAGTGGTTTGAATTCCCCTGCAAGGAAAGTAAGCCGAGGGGATGCATGGTGAATTTAGTAACAATTGAAGAAGGTGTGACCATTAGTGGGGTAGCAGAGTATTGACAATGGAATTACCATTGTGACCATAGTAAGATTTGTTTATTTACCTCTACAATGACAGCATTGGGCTCTAGCTTCGACATGTTGTAGTGTACGTGAGCATGATTTGTAGCAGACGATTGCTGGCATGTAATATCTAGTGGATGCGTAAGATGTGTAGGGCCCTGAAAAAGTAGCCGGATCGTTGAAATGGTGGCGAGTGGATAGAGCAGTGGTGGAAGCTGACCACGTTTAAATGACCACGGAGGTGTTGAACATTTGAGTGTGGAGCAGAAAAGGGTGTTTGCGATGTTACCTTCTGCGTAGTGGAGAGTTGGGCGGCGTCATTCACAGGCTCGTTGGGGAAGTTATTGGTGTGTGGATTTGTTGGTTGTATAGGCTCCTAAGAAAATAATGCAGGCAATGTTGGCAAATCGTCGCGTTGGAAGTATAAGTGAGTATGCCTGTGTAGAATGCAAATGGATGATAGTGCGTGCGAAGTACCTCGGGAAGGGAATCTTGGCAGTCGTGTATGGAAGCATGTGAGTCGGGATCACCAGGAATAGGGTCTCCATCGTGTGCGGCTAAATTCCCCTGTAATTGCGGGGGGGGGGTAAGTAATTTTTTGGGTAAGAGAAGACGATGAGAGTGACCAAAAACGAGTTGCCCAGATAGAAGGACCAAAAGTTAGTGACCAAATAGAGTTGACCAGATACGAGTGACCAAAATACGAGTGGCCAAATACAGTTGAGCAGATACTAGTGACCATCAGATAGTGACCAAAATACGAATGACCATGCGGTAGTGGAGAATGAGAGTTGACCATATGAGTGGATATCTTACCTGGATAATTACAGGAAATTGCTAATCAGGGGCCAAAAGGGCAGGGGAGTGAGGGCTTCGTTCTTGGATTGCCAATCGTAGTTGGTATTTCCCTTATCTGAGTGAAGTTAGAACCTGTTAATGGGGATGTCAGATGTTTAGCGACTGGGGATAGAAATGAATATGTTTAATTTGTACCTTTTCTGCGCTGCGACGTAATGACCCAGGAGGATGGTTGTTTAGGTCAGAGAGAACAGAGGCTATGATCTCTTCGTGCCCTTGGGGCGTAGTCGGTTGACTGATCTGGTGTATCGGTTGGATTAATGACGTGTTATCGTTGTTGTGTTGGTCGGTGACGTAATGATGTAAAAGAGAAACATACCTGGTGGTTTACCGCTGGAGGTGAATGTTGCGTGAGGAAGGGGGACACACTCTTCAGGCGGAGAGAGAGTATGGTGAGTAATAGTAGATTGAGAAAGATTGAGAAGTTAAAAAGAGAAGAAGTATTGTGAGCGCTTACGTGGTAGTTGTCTGTATCCTCGGTTCGTGGACCGTGTAATATATAATCGGGTATCTGCGATAATGATAAGAGTGTTAGAGAAGAAAAATTTGTGTCGAGGTGATGTAGATGTAAGTAAGCAATGTATACTTGGCCTTTTGAACTGCTGGGGAGGTGGTTATGACTGTGGTTTGTTTTTTGAGCCGCCGGGGATCTATTCTCTAAGTCTGCATTAAGGCCAATTATTGGTTGGGAACAAACGGTTGTTTTCGGGCGTGCTGGGCGAGATCGGGAAAATGAAACTCTCCTCCTAGTGGGAGTGCTGTACCGCCGCGAGTAGGTGGTTCCCAGGACAGACCGATGTGGGTTTGTTATTTTGAAACAGCTTAGCGAGATTGTGGTGTTTGTTCTTAAGAATGTGAAGTTGATGAGCAAGTTGTTGCACTTGTGCGGATAGAGAGAGGACATCTTCCCTCTCGTCACCGCTAACTTCTGTAGGGAGATTAGTGGCCTTCGAAGACGTTGGGCGATTACTTTTTTCTTGAAAGAAGTTGTTGGAGCCTTGGCTTTGAGGTGTTCGCGATATGCTTGGTTTCTGTCAACAATGTGTTTCTTGTGTTGCCGTTGGACGGGGGCGTGCTTGGTGACAATGATGGGACAGGATGCATCGCCGCCGGGCCATTCTTGCTTCCGGAATGTGTAGCCGCTGATGATTTTGGTGTGCATATATTTGATTTTCCTATCCCCCGACTCGTCATCCCATTCGGTTTCTTCCGGTCGCTTAACGTCAACCATGAGGCAAACGTTTAGCTGCATGAGCGGGAATCAGCTTATTATGAATGAGACGAGGGAATGTGCGCATAAAAAGAAAGAGGCCATAAAGGCTGATATTAAATATATCACTTACATTTGGATCCGCTTCCGTGAGGTGTGTCTGATCTAAGGTTAGAGATCCATATTTGGGAATGACAATGCCATCCATGTGGAGAAGAATGGGCTCCTCTGCTGTAGAAGGGAGCCTCTCGAGAAGGGCACGGATTTGCCGTAAAACGAGAAGCTGCAACGCGAGAGGGAATCCACACAGACGCATACTGCCAGAACGGAGTTGGGTGCGAAGTGTGGAGGTGGATTCTTCTCTCTTCCCCGGAGTGGATAGCAGTGGCATCATTGTGCCAATGGTGCGGAGGAATGACTCACGACCCCTTGAGAATTGGAGAAAGGCTTCGACATCCTGAACCATGGTCACGTACCTTGGAGATGGCTTGTGAATCGCCGAATTTGCTATAAGGACACCGTCAACAATCAGAATAAGAGCAAGTTGGAGTCTTCTTCTCGCGGATATTTGAGGATTATCTCGCAGCATATCACAAATTTCGGCGCAGATGGTGCCACGTTCTCCTATTATCTCTTTCCAAGCTGCGTCTGGCTTCCAGTTTTTATCAGGTTCGAAATCTGGATAGTATTCCTCCAGAAACTGGTGACAAGGAAGACCTGTCATCTCGCGGAACTCTGTTAGGGAGAACATAAATGGTTGACCACCAAAGACCATCCACAACTCGTACTTCTTGTTGGATATAAGTTGTCTGGTCAGTAGGGCGTGCAGTAGCTTGCAAGATATTGTGCATCTAGCCGCCGGCAAATCGAAGAGAGGTCCAAAACAGGAGTCGAGTATAACCGCAAACTCGGGTGAATCTCCCAGAACATCCTGGATGACCTTCAGAGTATCGGACTTTGAGTAAACATTGAGGCGGGCATTGGGAAATCGGTTGATCGCATACAATCGCGAGGGGAGGTTTTTTTCCCACAGTTGGTTGTCATGTGGGTCTACGAAATCGAAAAGAAAAGTTTCATGAACAATCGTAATCAAATTTGTAGAAGAGGAAGCATAATTAAACCAGATCTACAAAAAATGATACCAATCTCGCTATCCATTTGGAGAAGTAGTTTAGGTTAAAGCGGCGGCGAGAATACAAGGTCGGCGGTGATTTGCGGGTGCGATGTTGACGTAGTTAGCAACGGCGAGAATACAGGGTCGGCGGTGATTTGCGGGTGTGCGATGTTGACGGAGTTAACAATGCGGGTAAAACTGAAATTTGATTAAAATTTACCTCAGGTAAGAGAAATGGTAAATAAGATAAATCACTTTGTAGAAATGTGTTAGTTTAAAAAAAAAACTAAAATGTAATGAGTTTCGGTATAAGTATCTGTCGTGGTAAATATTTCATTAGTTGATCGGTGAACCATCGAGCATCATCAACTTTAATCCTCACAATTGTATATTTAATATTTTGAAAAATATGTATTTGATATTTTTTCCTTTCTGTCACAAGTTAGCGAAGTCCCAAGTCCCAACCATGGGACAGAGACAATTTGTCATGGGCTACAAGGAAATGGTCACCTTGTGGGCTTAGCCTCGAGATTCAATTGACTCATAATGGGCCAAATATTTCATGTTTTTGTACCAAGGAATGTGTAGTATGCACACGTTACCTATAATCTATTTTAATTTGGCATTTACAATTTTGAAATATGTTCCTTTTTTGTTTGAACATTTTCGTAAGTACATTTATCAATTACAAGTTTACGACTACTGTACATGTGTTCAATTTTGAATAAAATTTGGTTAATAACAGAAATTATACATATTCAAATTACCCTCGGTTTATAATATGTTTGTTCTGGCTATCCGCTAGAGGTATGCTTTTTAGTCCCACAAACCAAGGGTTGGATAATTTGAGTATACGCTAGAGTCCCACGAAAATGTTACCAGTTTACAATGGGAACAAAGTATATTTTATTGGCATTTACAATTTTCGAAATATGTTCCATTTTCGTATGTACCTTTATCAGTTACACGTGCTCAATTTTCGAATAAAATTTTAGTTAAAACAAAAGAATCATATTCAGTTTCTCCTCCAGTTTTTCGGTTCATGATATGTTTGTTCTGTGGCTATCGATATCTTCTTTAGTATAACAAAATATTGAAGAGCCCCACCGGTCCAAATCAAAATTGAGCTACTCAGTACTCAGTTTTAGCATATAAGAGCATCCCAACGGAAGTTGTTTATCATCATTTCTTACCCCAATAAATTATAAAATAATAAAAAACACCAAAGAGAAGAAGTAACGCCTCTGATTTAAGGAGTTTGAGAGCTGGTTTTTACTTTCTAAAAAATCTCATTTAATACATATCATTCTCTGATTTGTTTAATTTTTCTTTTGATTTTTATATACTCTTCAACTATTTACTCGATAGAGATGGTCTAAATTCCTCTGTGTTGTTTCTTCTTCTTAGCAAAAAAAAAAGAAAGATAAAAAATCATTTTGTAATCTCTGTTATTTTGTTAAAGAAAATTTCATTTTATAATCTCTTACACCACACTCTAAATTTGTAAAAACATTCTTTTTGTAACTCTCTCTTTCCAAAGCATAAATCAGCAATAAGATGCAAGGTTAACATCCCAGCTCAATTAAATGTTTACAATCTTAATATATACTAGGTAGCTGATGTGCGGGCATAAAAAATTTATAAAAAAATAATTATTAATAATATATATTATTAATAATAAATAAGTGATTGACCTATTTTGATAATATATTTGTTAAAAAAATTTGTTTGTAAAAAAGTGTTTTAATAGATTTGAGAAATTGAGTCATAGTAAAAAATAAAACATATACAAAATTTAAAATATTTTTTAAAAAATTATAAAATAAAATAAAATAATTCTTCGTTATTCGTTATTTTCTACTTTTTATTTATATTTTTTTCTGTCACTTTATGTCCTATTTCTCGTTCGTAATTCTTACTATATAATTGAAATACATTCACATATAATATAAACTTTTGATCTTTATTTATAGTGAGACAAAATAAGATGATAATAAAAATGAAGAAATTCTCCTTCTAAAAAATTTGATGGCGTAAAATTTCACACAACAGACAATTGAACTTATAAATATTTTGCTAAAAACTTACTTAAAATAAGCTTTCAAAAATTTTCATCAAAAAACAGATTTCACAAATTTCATGCCAAAAACATGAATAGGTAACTTTCACACCCAAAAAATTACGTCAAAAATATGATCTAAAAACACTTTATCAAAATTTTGATTTTGTGAATTTTTTGCCAAAAAGTGAATTCATAAAAAAAAATTCACCAAAAACTTTACATTAAAAATGTGATTCTAAAAACTACAAATCAAAATTTTGATTTCATGAATTTCCTGCTATATAAGTGAAACCGTAAATCTTCTGTCAAAAAATCTTATTTAAAAATATAATTTTAAAAAACTTTTTGAAAATCTGATTTCAAAATTTTTTCGCCAAAAACATGAATTTGTAACTTTCCCACCAAAAATATCTTTTTGGAATCAGAATAAGTTATTAGTAATATATAAAATAAGATGCAATAAAATGCAAGGTTAACATCTTATTTCATCTTATTTACTCGTTATAAGTTATGAGTGGCATGAATTTACTCGTAACTCTCTCTTTCCAAAGCATAAATCAGCAATAAGATGCAAGGTTAACATCCCAGCTCAATTAAATGTTTAAAATCTTAATATATATTATCACTTTTCTACCATAAATTATGAATTAACTTTAACATAAACTGATTTTTTTAAAATAGTAAATTTCCATATAATTGCTTGACTTTTTTATTTTCGTTCTCAGGTATGTATATATTCGGGCTAATTATTTTTCAAATGCAATAATTTTATTAATATTGATATCTCAACTAACTAATTGATTTGAAAGTTGAAACACTGGTTCTCACACTTTACTTGACTTTTTACTGTTTTCTCTCTCCTTTTTAGTTTGTTTGTTTCAACTTTTTAATAAGTAACGTTCAAATTACGTTGAACAAGAAAAAAAAGTAACGTTCAAATTAAAATTGACGAATGGAACATAAAAACAGAATGCGTCTTAAATGAAGGAGAATCGAATCCCGAGCCAGAGGAAGCCTCGTGTTTATCGGTGAGACATTTTTCGGTTTCCTGTAAGTACGGGTTTGGTATAATTCCCGGTTTAAGCTGTATATTCTCTGACTGAGTCTAATGAGAGATAGATGAACATTAGGTAGCAGCAATACGTACGTAGAAAGAATCTCGCCGACGACGACGAAGAAGTCGAAGACCGTACTGTACTTTGTACACTTATCTCTCTCTCTATCTCTCACTCACGCTCACTTTCTCACTCACACACCATTTCTGTTGCGCTTCTATACGAATCACATTGCTTGACCTCTATCACTCTGACAATAAAAAAACACAAGAAAACAAAAGGAACTCAGGTTGTTTCTTCCCCTCGCAGGTAACTTTTGTTGTTGTATCATTGTCTCTTGCTTGTTTAATTCCGTAGCAAAAAGGCTTGATTTTTGGGGATTTAAGTTTGTTAATTTGAACAAGGGTTCCCTGTTCCTGATTCGATTTTGGTTCCTCGACAATCTGATTCGATTTTTTTTTTATTTTTTTTTATTTTGGGGTTTAATCCGTTGATCAGATGTGGACAATGTAGTGTGTTGATGGAGAAAGATGGTTCTTTTTGGGTGGCTTTTTGCAGTTGGAAGCAGCGATGAAATTACAAAACCCAGATAAGAAAACCCTAAGAGAATCTAATCCAGTGGCTTCAATGGAAGAAGAAGATGACGATAAAGCGAGGAAGATTGAAGTCTCTGGGGGAAATATATCACTTGTTGTTGATTTTAGCGGCTCTTTAACTGGAACCAGCTGTGAAAATGCCATTGAACCTAATGGTACATGCCGGAATGAGAATCTGGCGAAGGAAGATAATCAGACTCAGGAGCTTCTGGTTGGGAATCTTGTATGGGGGATGACCAAATCCAAGAAATGGTGGCCAGGGGAAGTTGCTGGTTTCAAAGCTGATGCAAAGGAGAGTTTCATGGTTAAATATCTTGGCGAGAGCCAGCTTGTTTCTTGGTGCGCACCTTCTAAGTTGAAGCCTTTCAAGGAGAGCTTTGAGAGTTTGGTGAATCAAAGAAACGATGCAAGCTTTTTCGTCGCGGTGGAGAGCGCTATGACCTTGCTGGGAAACTCGTTGAAGCTTGAGATGGCTTGTTCTTGCGTTGCTGAAAAGAATGGGATAACACCACCACAAAACGGAAGAACTCGCAAGACAAAGCCTTTGATACTTCGCGAGTTCTCTGTAGATCGGTTGGAACCGAAAGAGTTTGTCACTCAGCTGAAGAATCTCGGGAGATGTGTTTTCGATGGTGGGATACTTGAGACGACGGTGATGAAGTGTCGCTTATCGGCTTTTTATACTTTCTTTGGGCATAAGCAGTTACCAATGGATCAGCTGCAAGAAAGCGAGGTTAAGAAAAGTAGTTTCAATGCAGCTAAGATGAAAGACAGCGAGTTCGTTGGTTCTCCATCTATTGTTGCAGCTACTAGCAGGAGGAGGTTTCGGAAAGAATGGTTTAGGAAATATGTCAGTGAGGTTGACAATGTCTCTGCGAGAGACGATCTAGTAAACACGTCCCCTTCTGATTTGGTATCTAAACTCAAGCTTCTTGCTGTGTGTTCAGAACAGACTGAGAATATCGGTCTCTCTGAGTGGTTCTTCTCCAAATTCAGAATCTCCGTGTTTCATGATGAGAATGCTTACAAGTTGCAGTTGGCTAACATGGCTGGTTTCAAGGATTTGAATCCGGGTACTAAGCAGAAAACCTCCAAGCCAAGTAGATTAGTGAATTCAAAGATCCAGCCTTTTAGTGTTGTTTCAGTTGCTGATACTCAGCAGAAGACCATTGTGTCTAAGAATTCAAGTATGGAGACTCTTAACGGTATTTCAACTCCTGATAATGAGCAGAGAGCCTCCAAGCCGATGAAAAAGATCAAACATATCATTGGTCACTCAGATTCTTCTAATCCTGTTGCCGTTGAGCGGTTCGCAAAAGATTTCCAAGAAAAACTGTCGGTACAATCTCCACAAGGGAAAGCTTCTGTAGCAGATAGTACACTCATCAGACCTGCTGCTACACTTGTACCAGACCTAAACAGACGATGCAGTGCAGAACTAGACCACTCACAAAGACCAAAGACTTTCATTCCTCCCAATGCAATCCCACAAGAGGACCAGACGCCAAGAACTATGATGATAAACTTTCAAGTGGCAGCTCCGTGTTCAACAAACCACGGAATCTTGGGGACCGGGTTTGCTTCTAACCAGTCAGCTTATGAAAGAAACTTCACGAGCGCAGACCTTTTCACCGGGAAGAAGAAGAGAGGGAGGAAGAGGAAGATTCCAGAGGAGCTTCCAAGAGTTGAACATGCCATTAATGGTATACCTGACTTGAATGGAACAACCACAGAGCCAGCTTCGGATGTTCCTCAAGCTGAGCCTACTCAGCGTAGAAGGCGTCGGAAGAAAGAGGACTCACCTAATGGATTAACCAGAGGAATCACAGTTCTCTACTTGAAGTTTTCCTCCAGAGTGTCAATGCCTTCAAGGGACGACTTAACCTCGAGGTTCTCTGCGTTTGGACCTTTGGATTCCTCTGAAACACACGTCTCTGAAGAGTTTAGCGGTGCGCAGGTCGCCTTTGTGAGTAGTGGCGACGCGGTTGAAGCGGTTAAAAGCTTGGAGAAAGCCAACCCTTTTGGTGAGGCCTTAGTGAGTTTCAGGTTACAGCAGAAACTGATAAGCGTTCAGAGGAACATAGCACCGAGAATGCCTGTGATCTCTCAGGTTACTCCAGTACTGAGGCTGAACAGTACACCGACGAGTGTGGATTCGATGAGGCAGAACCTGATGATGATGACTGCAATGCTGGAGAAATCAGGGGATCGTTTATCGAGAGAGACGAAGGCAAAACTGAAAAGCGAGATCACGGGTCTTCTGGAGAAGGTCAGTTCTATGCCTAGCTCTTCTTCTTCCTCGACAAACCCATGACATACATCATGATGTGATCTTCTCAAAGAGTTTCTGATGTACCATGTGTTGTAACTTTTTGGAGCCTATTCTATGAACTCCGTTCTTGTGTTTCCATCTTTAGTTTCGAACGGTAAGTTCTAGAATAATATTTAGGTATTAGAAGATGCTGGCTATGTTTTTTTGGTAAGGAAGATGAAGACTTTCTTCAGCTTTTTTTTTCATGTAGCTTAAAGCTCTGTAGACTGTAGTCTCTTTAATGAAGTTTTTTTCTCGGAAAATAGTGAGCAAAAGACCGAATAATATGTGAATTTTTCTTCGGAGTTTCTTCCACAATGTTCAGGAGACTAAAGAGACGGCAGAAAATCAAAATCAAGTATTTGAGAGAGAAGAAGAGAGTTTGAAGTTGAACCATCGACGACTGCGAGAATCCGAGATCAAGAGGTGGAGAGCCGGCCAGAGATAGAGGACAAAGAAAACCAATTTTGAATTAAACCGGTTCAGCGCTTTTTCAAACCAATAAGGCCGTGGAATTAAGTGGTTCAATTTCGGTATAATCACAAAACCGGGGAATCTAACGGCTCGATTGCAGCAAATGCGTTAAAATTGCATAATTAATTTGGTTCAATTGGGGGCACAATCACAAAAATCTGGGACGCTTCGCTTGGGGCCAATTGATGTACAACATAAAATATATGGGCTTTTATGTAATAATGGTCAAATATAGTTAGTGAGTCACATACTCCATCATATCCATAGCATACAACTCTAACGGTTAAACTGGGGCAAATGCGTAAAAGTTATAAAAGCATAAGGGCTTATATAGAAAATTTCTTAGTCGGTGAAGTCCACCACAGTCCCCCGTCAATAAACCCTGAACCTTTCTCCCCGGAAATTCAAAATCAGTTTCATCGTTACCACTTCCCCCACTCACGAAGATCGTCGCCGTTCGCGGATTATGCTGTAGGCATCCCTTTGTTCGATTTGACCATGGTTACTTCGAGGGATGTCCATGAGGTCGTCTCCAAGCTTTCGTCGGATAAAGCCAAGACTCGCGAAGTAAACTGTTCAGTTACCCCTTTCTTTTATCGTTTGGGGTTTCCGGGCGAAATCGGCAGAGATATATAGAATTTTGTGAATGAGATTTTATCCTTTGATGATGCTTGCTAATGAGATTTTGTTCACTTTCTTGATTGATCCTGGCGCTCGTTCAAAATGTTTAAATTGCCTGTTTTCTTCGAATCTGGCTGGTTTTTTTATAGTGTCGGGGACTTTTTATAGCACTCGTGTGGCTCCCAAAAGCAAGCCTTGAAATGGATCAGGAATCCCTAAGCATTATTATGTATCTATCCCTGTGTGATGTTATGCTACTGGGTTCCTATTTTGATATTCCATTTCAAAGTTGCTCATATTGATGAATATCTTGCATAATCTGAATATCCAGGATGGACTCAAGTTATTGAACACATGGCTCGAAGGAGAAAGGTCAATTATCTTTTGTAGATTTCTTTCGCAAAATACAGCAAAGCTTAAGTTGGACGAGATTCCAAATGGTATGTAGCGATTTTGCCACTGGAAAAATTTAATGCTATTGTATATTACATCAAGCTTTGAAGTTAATCCAGCACCTTACTTGTCGTTGCAGCTGAAACGTGGCCCTTTTTGGTTAAAATTCTCCTTCAATGTGTGTCTATGGAGGTGTCAGGTAGTAAGCGACGGTTGCCCAAGCCAACTTTTGCAAAGACGCTTCGAGTTGTTATTCAGAGAGCAGAGGAAACCAAGTTTCCTGGTGAGAAATATAGTAATATGTTTTTGGTTAGTTAGAAATATAGCAATATGCTTTTAATTGTCACCTTTAGTTACGTTGTGCTTGCAAAAACGTTTCACATTGTCATTCGAAGAGCAGATGTATCAAGTCTCTTGGTCAAAACAACTAGTTATCTGATTTTGAATGTTTCTCTAGAACCGAAATTGCTGTATCTTTCGTTATAGAAGACAATCTTAGAAGAAGCTGGGAGAATTTGAACATTAATTGAATATGGTTTTATGGAACTAGATACTTTTGGGGGTTCGTATTATTAATATGCCCATGCGCATGTGTGTTCTGCAAGTTACTTTCTCACAGAAATGTATCTTAATGCTTACACTTTGATGGTACTTTTCTTTTATTAGCAAGACTTCATCTTGTTACGTGCTTCTGTATCTAATCTGTTCTCATGTCTCAGGTGTACTATTTCCTTTGCTATCTATGGCTAAAACCCTCTTTACACATGTACATGATATTTTGAGCAGTACACCTAGTTTTCAGTCAGACTATGGGACCATACTCCGCCATCTATTGGAAGTTAGGGAGTACCGTTTCCAAATGAGGAAGCGTACATATTCCAGTGAGCTCTCTACAAATCTAAATATTCGAATTGTCTAGTCTTGTCATGGACATCGAGTGTATGGTGGTATATTGGTGTTGGATATCTTTTAAACATAATGTTTCTGCAAGGTTTGGTGCTGCTATATATAGAAAGGGCTGAAGCAGGGTTTTGCGAGAAAAACAATGGTCAACATAGCCAGAAGGAGGAGGCTTTTCGTTATATTCTTACACTTCAGTCACTTCTAGATAACACTCCGGGAGATTTCCCTGATGACCTTCGAGGGGAAATTGTGAATGGCTTCATTCACATCTTCTCTTCTGTAAGGTCTGATTTTATTTGTTACTCAATGTCCCACTCAGATTGTACAATCCTTTGCAAACAATAGTAAAAGTTATACTAATTTATTATAACATTTCCAGAGATGAGGGAAAGCTCTCACGCAAGCTTATCGAATGTGTAAATTCGTTCTTGCTGAAGGATGGTCCCAATATAGGCTCCTTATCATTGGAAATTCATAATGCGGTTCAACAGTTTGTGTTCCGTTGCTGGTTAACAACCCATGATAAGAACCTTAAGGTTTTCTTTTGTGGTAGCCCCTTGTTTAACACATGATTTTGTTTTTAATACGGCTTCATGGTCTAAGTCAGTTTTTTTTGGGTTTTCTTGTTCTACCTTTTAGGAGATACTTACTTCTTATGGAAGGCTTCAGCTAAATTTGACAAGGGGTTCTAGTGAATCTAGTTCTTTGGTGGAACAACTTTTGGACGTGGTTACTCGTGAACTAGATCTTGGTAGTTCATCAAGTTCTGCATCATGGTATATCTTTTCTCTGTTTCCGCTTCCAAGGGATGTCTTTTTTATACATTTCCTGAACTTATGGATCTCTAATTAATTATTTTTATCTAGGGGTGATTCAACCAAGGATGATAAGTTTGGGACATTGAGCAGCTATCAAAGTAGCTTGGTTGAGTTGGCTGCACATGTGCTCTATCGGGTACCTGTTTTATAGTCAAATTACTCTGTTCCTCACAACAAAGTTCTAACTCAACCGACCATTTTACTATATTTTCAGTAGTGTCTGAAATTTGCTTCATCTACCTTCAGCATCTTTTTAACTGATGCATTATAGTTTCCTGAAGTATTTTTGTTCCGCAGTGAAGTTTGATCTTGTATACTTTGAGAATACTTTTTTTTTTACTATCAGTAGAGTCAATTGAATCCCATTGCTCACACCTTTGTGTATACTTGAATATGTGTTGGTGTCTGTGTGTGTCTGGAGGGAATGTGGGAGAGAACGAGTGCTGATATTCAGAACTTTGGCAGGCAGTTGTCAATACTACTAGACCATCACTGTCAGAGAAACGAGCTCGAAGACAACATATTGCATTGCGTCTGGTAGAAGCACTTACTGAAGGAAAATGGCTGTGGTATGTTTCTGACCAGGGTATTTAATAAACGATATCAAATCTGCTGATGTCTTCTATGCGAGAGTTGTTTTCTAGATATACGTGTAGCCATATCGTAAAATTGCCTTTGATGAGGTATACCATTTGTTTGTTATCGACATATAACTTCTGTCCAATTCGTAATGCTGGCTTTTTCAATGGCATAGCACATTGCTTATTAAGAAACAACTTCTATTGTTTCTGTCAGTCTAGATACTGTCATTGCATTATATTTAATTTATTTGCTCCCTGCTTTACCTAGAAACTTCAGTTGTTACGAAAATGTGGACTGAAGTACGTAAGCTTCGTCCAGGTGTGCTGCTTTTGGTTGTCTAGTTCGGACTTATTGTACTCGCATCAACAAGGATCTCCTTATTTACTGGTTTGAAGCCATCTGCACAAACTTTCAGAGGTAATTTGGGAAGTCTTACTTAGTTATTTACGTGGATATATGTTTCTTTGCCTCTACGGAAACAGTAACTAAGAGCTTAGGAGTTGTTAGTTAACAAAGATTATTGCTGTTATACTTTCTGGTATTATGCCTTTTTAGAATATCCGTTGCCACTTATCCTTTAACATATTTTACTGGTTACTATATTAAACGTAAGAAGCAGTTGAGTGGACCATACATTTAAGCTAAGTAGGATGGTGGTTATACCACACCTCAAATAGTACATGGTGAATGACGTCTTTATCGACGTGTGATGGTTAGTTTTTGTTGTGGTGGTTCTTATCTTTGTATTTCTGTATGTCCTTTTTCTCTCCGTGGCATGTTGTCGTAACCAAGTAAACAAGCAAACACAATATTATGACTGCAAATCAGGAGGGTGCTGATTTATTAGTTTTTGATTTCAAATTAGTTTCTCATATTAACCAACTTCTGAAACAAGAATATGATCAAACATTACTTGGCAATTTGTATTCACTTATGATGGTGGTTCCTTTGGACGTTTATGGTTTTATTACTGCTAGCTATATTCCATAGAACTGTAATAGCTAAATTGCAGATGTGATGCTACTCAATATTTTAATGTCATACTATTAACATCTGTAACAGTGGACTTCTTTGGTTTTACTTTATCTCTTACATGACAGACTTCTGGAGGATGCCAGTAAGAGACGTTCTTATGATGGTCTATTATGGACTTTGAGGTATGTTTTGATGGAATCCAGGTGTATACTATTCCGACTTTGTAGCAAGTTCCTTCATATATTTGCAAATATTCCTTGCTGTCGAGTTGTTTAATACAAAAATAAATAAAAAATGATATGAGGCATTTAGGATCTTTGTTTGCCTTAACTTTCAAAGTTGTAAATTCTCGATCCTATATCTTTTTGAGTATATTGTGAAACTTGGTTTCTTTTTGAAGGAGTTTGCAAGGGCTCTCTTCTAGTTTGTTACTTCCAGATACTACTATGGACGTATCAAAATCATCTGTTTCCTCAAGTGAGGTACCTGACTTTACTGCCTTTCTGTGTGTGTGAGTCTGATACACATGTGATAGGTTATAGCGTGCACAGAAACATGGATTAGCGAGGTTTAGAGTTGATTTGGTGTTGTTACTAAACTAAAATAATACGTGAATCTTACATCGTGGAGAAGTTGAGGAGATATATTGTTTCTCTGTATGCATCTGGGCAAACATTTTGGTGTAGAATGTACAGAACACTAATGGCCTGTTCACATATAGGTTTTTTCTTTCAATGTCAAGTTAAGCTCGACTCAACTTGATGTCACATAAATCATGTGACCAGATTTTTATAGAAATTAGGTGACCATTAGGCTTTTGGTATCCTACATTTGTTTTTTGATTTCGAGAAATCTGTATGACTTTTGGTTTTATATTTGATGAAACGCTTTCTTGCCCTATTCATTATTTTCATTTTCACATTTGTATTGGAATTCCTGAATTCTTAATATAAAATTATATTATGAATATAATTTTCTTTGCAATTAGCCTCTGGTCTCATTAAAACACATTGTTTTGCAGCTAGATCGTGGTTGGCAATTGATCTGGAGTTCTTTAATCCATGGACTAGCAACATTCAGCAGCATGAGTGTAATTGTATGTTGCACATATCTACTTATATTCTTTCTTGTCTCAGACAGTATATGATTTGTTCTAAACTGTTGCTACTTTTGGACGAAACTAGAGAAAATATAACAAAGCCTTGAACACTAGGTAGCTAATAAGTTTCCACCAATGAAGCTTGACCTTGTTTATAGGTAATAGTCAAACTTTAAAACTTTTTAACATCTCTTCGAACAGTGAAAAGATTAATCTGTTCGGAGATGTGTGTTATCAAACGTTAATCTTTTAGTGATTCAGCGTTTCTGTTCTTGTCTTTCCCGTTTGAATTATGTTCTTACGTCACCTCTGTAATAGTTTTGGTAATTGGCCACACATTGATATTTTAATATCTAGGTAAAAAAGATAGTAGTCTTTGATGGGGATCAAGGTGAAGGGGTTTCCTGGTTACGCAATACTATTCAAGGGTGTTTGGTAGTACGTTTAGCTAAACAGTTTTCGGTTACTCGCTTTGCTACAAATATACGTATTTGTGGCTGATGCTACTCTGTTCCACGATCGGATGTTGGCCTAATCATTATTTTAACGCAGGTTGATGCTGTCTTGGTGCTCCTTGGATCAATCATTTCAAGCGTGAGTTTGTAAATAAAAATTTAACATAATTTTTTTGTAAATTATATTGATCGATCTTCTTACCAATATTGTCCTTTCGTTCAGAACCATATAAACGTAGGGATTCTGCCTCAAGAAGTGTGGGATCACCAATTATTCAGACACATACCCTCTGAGTAAGCCTGTCATCCTCGAACTGTTTAGCTAATTCCTGAGGTGCTTATAGGCTAGAGCCCCACTTTTCCTGTGGAAAATAGTCAAAATGAGTTTAGATACATTTTGTTCTATTAAAAATTCTTATATTATTTCCTTCCACATGAAAAATTTGCGTTTAACAATCGGTTGGATTTAATAGATGCTGAATGGCTTTACCGTTAACTAAATAATTGTAACTTTACTCAGGCCGGCCTTGTACTTCATTGCATGTTACTTTTCACGTATGGGTTGCCAGGTAAGCAAACTGGTTCTCACAGGAATTGTATGGTCTTGGTATCTACATTCTATGTTGACTTGATTGCTAATTTTCCAAGTCTTGAAAATGTATTAAATCATCATGTTACTGTCCAATCACTGATATATGCAACTGTGCAGGGGAACCTGCAAGATGATTTACATCTTCGACGCAATCTTCTTAGGGCAGTTTGTGGCCCCCTTAGCTGGAAGGTAGTTTTTATTCTTTTTCCAGAAGAACACAAATATATTTGGAACTTGGATCTCATCAATAATCTTATTGTTCGTCTGGTAATTTGTGATACCGCTTACTCTCCGTGGAGGAGCGTTGTCTACGATCTGACCAAACCAAATTACTCGCCTTAGTTATTTTTACTTCATAAGTCAGCTCGTGGCAAAATTTTAATAGTCATAGTTAAGCACTTCATTTTTTTGGCTCAGCAGTGAAAATTATGTGCTTTTTGTTATTTCTTGCCAACTAGTTGGTAAGAGCTGCATTCTATTTCTACCTGATTTGTGAAATTGAAAATCTCAAGAGAAAAGAATTCGAAAATCTAGTCATGTTCACTCAGTCAAGTACAGCATCGTAGATTTTAAAAGTCTCGAATGGTGTGTACCTCATTGTATCAGATGATCATATTGGAGATCTTGCTTATTGCTTATACATTCTTAGGGTCGTTTGACACTGAATGAGAGAATGGTTCGGCTTCTACCAGCAGCTGCTTTTTCCCTATGTGCTGGTTTCACATCTTCACTTCCATTACCTAAGGAACATCTCCCAACACCATCTGAATGGGATGCCTGTGAAGTGGTGAATGATGTTGTGAAGGTACCTGCTATGTTTGTTATTAAGAATTGAATAATTTTCATCTCAAAATTGCATGACTACTGGATTTCACAGTTTTGGTGTCTTTTCCAGATGGATGATGTTGAACAAGAAAGAAATTTTGGACTCTTTGAATGCTCTGTGGAGGTTCTAACAAGAGTCTGCTCGAATTCTAGCAAGGTGGATGATCCTTAATTTTTCTCGCCTTTTCCTAAACTCATGTCTCCGCCGACATTTTTTTATTGTCTTGTTTCTTTGTATATTCAGATCTCTAGTTGCCGAGTTCCCGATGGAGTACAATTACCTCTGGTATTAAGAGATCCATTGCTTCATGACATGGAAATCTATTTTCTTAGCATTACCCCAGAGGACAGTGAGAAAGGACCACTGTCTGACATCTTTATGGGATGTTCTCTGTTGTGTCATTTTATGCATGGTTCGTATATCACAAGGTTCGTCAACTCCTCCTATTCTTGGTATCTTCTAAAAACTTATGAATGACTGATATTGTTATTGTCTTGTCAGATTTTTGCTATCGAAATTGTTCACTCCTTTACGATATTTAAATAGCTTATAACAAAAATTCATAGTTAATATTGACAGATGGTGAAAACCCACTTGTAGATGCTGCTTTGTTCTGATAGTGGTGTTGCCATATTCTATGCATATAAGCTTTATGAAGCAAGGTCTCAGTACTTTGAGATACTTTTTTTTTTTTTTTTTTCATTTTTCAGAGTAGTTGTGTGAAAGTTGCTGCACCTGCGATGAACTAGCGTAAAGTGTATCTCTTTGTGTGAACTTTTCTTTCAGTCACTTGAATTTTCGTTTTCATTTTTCAGGAAGGGTAAAGGAAGCACTTCGTTCTTCTTAAAAGCATGCCAGTATTTGTTAGAAAGCCTGGACTATGCTGTTGAAGCAGTTTTAAAGAGCCTCAACGATTTTCAAAGGCTTGGTCCCTTGGGGTTTGGCTCAGATTTTAATGAGAAAAGTTCTATAATAATTTCGTTGAGGTCTCTTACTAGTTCTCCTGTCTTCAGCAACAGAGGAGACCAAAATCTTCTTGGCACTAGTTATGATGCTGTCTTTCAGTCCTTAGAGAATCTTTTGCGGTCTTTTGCTAAAGTTTACGGAGAATATACTGAGCATTCGTGGAATTCCAATACCCATTCTGACTCTGCACCTTCAAAATCGTTAGCACTTGATTCCCCAGAAGTTGGCAGGATTGTGGATATGGATTTGGATTTAGCTGAAGACACTAAAGAGATCGATCTTATAACTGCTGGTGGAAAAGCTGTTCCCGGCGTGCCCGTTTCTACGGGGTACTGGAAGTTGGGCATGATATCACTTATCTCATGTTTTTCTCCAGTACTTCAGTCTTCTACATGGGATGTTCTATATAATATTATGGAGAAGGAATGTGATCCTAAGGTACTAGCATTTTTTTTTCTTTCACATATCAATATCTCAAGCTTTTGTTGTGGCCTTACAGAAGCATATTTTTCGACTGCTTACATTTGCAGGTGTTGGAGAATATACTCTATCATCTATGCCAGCTTTCATACTTGACTACTATGCCAAAGGTTAATGATTTGGTATGGAGCTCAGTTGTTGAAATTAGTTTGCTGTGAATATTTGGAGGATTTATGTCAACATCTCCACCAACTTTTCTTATGTTAATGGTTGTCGTTTCACTATTTTACATTAAGGTTGTTTTCTTGGATGACATGCTTAACACACAAGTGAAGAGCAAGCGTAACTGTCTCAATATAGTCACTGCTCTGCATGTTCTACTTCGAAATTTATCGTCTTCGGGTATGGGTTTTTCTGGACTCAGAACAAACTGGGATTTGTCTTTAATAGAAGGAGAAAGTTGTCAGGTAGTACCTTATCTTGTTTAAGTTGAGTACATGGTTCCTTTCCATGATTAGCTTGATTCATTGCCCCAGTAACGTGCAGGTCTTTGTCCAACTTGGCGCAATGGTGAATAAAGTTTCTGAGTTTGGTCTCTTGGGCTGGTTTGGGCGTGTGAGGCTTATCAACTGTATATGTGATTTTGTCTTGCTTAATCCTCAGATTGGTCAGGTGCCTACTTCTCATTTAAACCACTTGTTCCTTAGACATTAAGAACTGGCATATGCAATATGTATAATCGCACTGATGTTCGTGCTTCTCTTTTTAGTGTTTTCATAAAGCAAAAAGGTTCCCGTCTTAAGGTTTCATGACTTAGTTTACATGTTAAATACCATTGAAGTTGAACTGTTGAAGATTCTGTTCAACTGAGATAATTCCTGTTGTTTACAGACGAAAAATTGAAATTCTCCTTGCTCTCATTACTTGTAGCGAAAATATTCAATTAAAGAAAACCTTACAGTGTGTGTGTGCTATAAACCTATTTTTTTAACTTTAGGACTAATTACGAGTAAGCAGGCAGTTTCCCTGTAATACTATTTCTGCTAAATGTTATAGTTCATAATATTTCTGTTTTAATTTGTTCAGACAATGATTGAGCGACTTTTATTAATGCTAAATGACTCTGATTATCGGGTGAGGTTTGTCCTGGCAAGACAAATTGGGCTTTTATTCCAGACATGGGATGGTCATGAGGCATTGTTCCAAGATATTTGGTAAGTTTGGTGTTTGTTTATTCACAATTTTTTTGTAATGCTATGGTTTCCTTTTTATTTTGGGTCAAACTTATGCAATGGTTTTCTTAGTACGGTATTCTCCTAGTAAGAAACAAACTGTTAGATACTCGTTTCTACAGATTTTTGTGGCTTACCAAAAAAGAAAAAAAGAGCAAGAGCCTGATTTCAAGAAATATTATATTTCTTTCTTGAAAACCTTTTTAAAGTTCCGTGATATCAATTTTCTGTATTGATTGCGAGTCTTACGAAGATCAGCATTCTGTAAGTACTGATGTTTCACGGAGCTTGTTTTCTTTGACATTTATCTTGCTACTTGGCACTCGGTATCCCTTATTCTACTGTTAGACTGAAGTACCTCATTAGTTGGTAATAGCTTAGTTTTATCACTCGGATTAGAGTACCTCACTAGTTATTAATATTTCCCATATTTTCTTTCCAGCTCCAGCTTTGGTATTATATTGGTAACCTCCTCAAGGGAAAAACTTGTCACTGCAAGGGATGTCCTGGCTGCTGGTCCTCAGCCTCGCCCAAAAATGGAGACTGTCATCATTACTCTTATGCACCTTGCTTATCACAGTGAGAACATAGAGTTGCAAGTAATAATTGACTCATTTTGTCTTGAGTTCTTAGAATTGTTTTGAGTATACAATCAGTTAGCTACATATTGAGTATACACATGTATTCCCTAATTGGTGAAACGCAGGCTGTTTTTATGATGTGCGCTATTTCAGCTATAGATCCCTGTCAGAGGTATTTCTCTCTTGTAATTGTTACTGTTTTTGATTCACTTGACACGTTCTTCAACTCATCTGGCCTTTTTTCCTACTAGGGAATTAATCATTGCTGCACTTGACAATCTATCAACACAACTCCACTACCCATCTAGGTTCAAGGTGTTATTATTGATTCTCGTGTCTTTGTTTCATCGGTACCTGTATGACAAATGTTCTTCTCATTTTTGCATTTTTCCTGCTATTAGCCGACTTACCTTACTTAAATCATCTCTGAGCCTTGTAAAAGCTACCTTGATGACATCATTTCCATCTCTTTTTAAACTGGTTTATGCAGTACCTGGAGGAACTTTTGGGCCCAATCCTCTTTTCCTGGATTGCATGTGGTGTCAGTTTAGCTGCTCTTGTTGAGGTATGCGGCCAGCTGATATTCTCTTTTTCATAGATGGATTTCTTTTCTGATGGTTATTTTACCTTTTCACTCAAGTTACCCATGGGTGCTTTGTTTGTATCCCTTTGTTCGTAGGAGGTTCATTTGTTTACTATACTTTTCAACCCAAGTGGCATTTATATTTGAAACTTCTAGTACAGTAAATAGTCCATTTTTTTTTTTTTCTCTTGCCCACGGGTATGCAATATTGAAAATAGTGTACAGCTACAAAATTAAAGAACATTACCGTTGAAAGAATAAAATATCGTCATGTGCTTCTGGATATCCAACAATATGTTCTATGATTGTGGCAGTTACCAGAATGGAATGAGTACAATTTAGCACTCTATATAATCTGCTGGTTGCTTTGTTGCAGACAAGTCAGCTGTTCATTCTAAATGCTGAACCGAAATATTTCATCCACTATTGTTCCCATTGGCTACTCCCAGCTCTTCTGCTGCATGAAGATCATACTAACCTTGACTGGGTAGCTAAGGTAAGGGTGCTTCAATAGATATATATGGAAAATATGTGGATGTTTCGAATAACTGCAATTTCAGTTTATAGAGAAACTTAATGAACTTGGATGAGATATGTACAACCTTTTGGTTGTATTCTTCTATATTGTATTGGACCTTCAAATAACGTCAGATGAACTTTTTCGATCTCTGTCACTGACACTCCACAATTTGCAGATGGCTGGCCAACCGGTGGCTGTCTTGGTCAAAGAAAATTTTGTGCCAATCTTTTCAATATGTATGGGATTGCACTGTAGTAAAACATCCGAATGTGATAAAGGTGCGATGGTGCTTCAGAATTCAATATTGTACGTGGGCGAGATCAGCGAGAACGAGAGGGATAAGCTCATTAAACGGAGTATGGTATGGTACCTGTAACATTAGACTCATGATTCCAGCAATCTATCGTTATTGTTTGTGGCGGATAATTCCATCTTACAGTTAGTTAGCTAGTCTGATCAACTAGCTACAATTTATCAAGCCTTCCGATCAAAGCATTATCAACTGAAAGATCAATAGTTGGATGCTTCACATTCATTTTGTCGGTGATCCTAGTATTTTCTCAATCATAACGTATTGAATCTTTTATTGCCGCTCTGTTCTGTTTTCAATTTCAGGTGTCTATTGTTAGTTTTGTTTTATCACGTGCTTCGTCTTCACCAGAACCTCCAGTTCCTGCTTTTTCTCGTGACGCCATTTCACGTGCAGTTCGAACAATTGTGGATGGTTTTCTGGAAACGTAAATTTCGTGCTCAGTGGATCTTGAGTTATATTTTTATAGTTTTTCCTTTAATAAGGTCTGTCTTGGTTTATGCAGCGATAATTATCCTAAGAATGCAGCCGTCATTGACAGGATTAACGTTTTTCGCCCAGATAGGGTGTTCATGGTGAAATTTTCACTTGCCATGTTTTTTCACGAGATAGCAATGTTTTTGTCAATTTGATACTCCAGTCACAATATTTTTGTTGTTGTCTGGCAGTTCACTACAGAAATACATTACAGAATGTCAACCGCATGCCATCATCGGCATACCCGTCATCATTTGGCCGCTCTTGAAGAGCTTACAATTATTCTTGGTCATAGAGCTTCAGTTCCAAGTTCCTTAAAGTGAGCAGAATTCTCTATCTATCTATTTGATTATTTGATTGGTAGTATTCAAATTTTAACACGAAAGTGACTTTCTTCGGACCTAATTAAATTTGAGGTAGCAATAAGATTGACCATGTAGGTTATTTTCTAGAGTAAAAACTCTGCTGTAGATGTTAGAAGGTGTAGTTTTTACTTGACTAGTCTTTGCTATTGTCTTGAACTCATTTGTTAAATGTCAGACTGATTATCATAATATCTTCCCCGACCAGTGGCTTTGTATACTGTTTCTTTTGGCAAGAGTAACTTCCAGTTTTAATCTTTTTTTGATTAAATACATTTCTGACGCAATCTTTAGTTGATATTTAAAGAGCCAAGGCTACACTTTATGATGTATGAAAATGCTAGGCTGTTCTGCTAATAAACATAGTGTCATTTGTAAATTAAAATTTCGGTGTCATTGAGGGGTGGATATTTGTTTCTGAGCGTTGAAGAACTACTTTGACCTTTGATTGTGGTCTCTTTCAGTTATATATTCAATCTTGTTGGACAATTTATCGGCTCTCCCTCATTACAAGACCAGTGTTGTAGTATAGCTTCCTGTTTGCTGGATTCATTCAAAAACAATCCGGCCAAAGAAATTGTTAGTGTACTAGGTGACCAGCTCCAGGTATGTGTTGCTGAATGCTATTATTTCGGTCCATGTTTTATTACTTTTTGAAAAATATTGTTTACTTTTCTCTAATTGCTGTTTTTTTTTAAAAATAGTTTTTGGTCTCAAAGCTAGTTACATGCTGTATCGATGCTGAAGCAGACTCCAAAGTTTCTGGTTCTAAGTCAGCTCAACTCGTAAATTTGTTACACAAGCTAATTGTTGATTCAGAGTCTTCGCTCGATGAAGATATCAGAGTACGCGTTACCAATAAAGTTGCCTACCATTATGTCTTTACCGTGCAAGGAATCATCGAGAAATTAATGCTTTTAGATTTGTCCATCGTTTTCAGGACTTAGAACCATTGCCCGATATTAAATTTTTTCAAGGCATTCGTAATTCACACATCAGGATTTGCGAAGCCTATTCTCCGAGGAATCATCTGTTGAAGGTCAAGCACTCTGCAATTTTTTTAATGATTACGTTGTTGTTAAAAATTTATCAGTATCCAATTTTGTGTTTCTGTCCTGTTCCGCCAAACAGTGTGCTAGAAGATCTTGTTATCTTCCTCCAAGATTCCTTTCCGGGAGGTATCATTCTATCTCTCATGAGTTAAATCATCCTGAGATATGCATTAAAGCCTAAGTGCCATGATTTGCTTGGAATGTTAACTGTAGAATTAATATTAAGTATGGTTCCTTATATTTTATTTTGAGGACTGTAGTTTTTCTAGCTACACTAAGATACAGCAGTCAAGGGGATAAACTTTTTGTTTTTCATCACTTCTTGTAGTTCGTTTGTGGTTATTTTTCTTATGTGGATGGATCGATGGGTGAGCTACTTTAATTCATTTTTCATGGTTGTGCTCATGAGTGAAAATATTTGATTTATGTGTCTGTTTTACAAGTTATACTAGAAGGCAGATATTGTTTGTCTTTCAACTTTGTCGATCTGGCTTCTACTTTGATAGCAACAAAGTTGATAACATTTAGTCAATAACATGGCCAACGAATCTTTTCCCGAGAGTCTAGTCCTGTTTCCTTATAAAATTTTACAATTTTTTTTTTTTCTAACTTATCATGTCCTTGCAGTCTCCAAGCACTGCACAACAAGCTCATAGCTACTGAAGCTTGTCGAGAAAAGACAAATGTAGAAACTGGAGATACTTTTTGGCATTCTGACGAGGAAATTGTAAATGCTGTTTGGACTCTTGTCCGTGTGTCTGCCTCAGATGAAGCAGATAGTATGAGATTGTTGGTGTCGGATTTTCTTTCCAGGGTATCTGTCATTCTCTTTTCTGGTCAGTATCTCTTACTTTGCAAATTTGAATATCTGGTCTTATTTTCTCTTATTTAAAACGTAGGTTGGTATTGGGGACCCCCACACTGTTGTTTTCCATCTTCCTGGGGAGTTGGGCTCCATGCATGATCTTCAGTTTGCTGGCCAAAATACTGGGTCAAAAGTCAGATCTTTTACTGAGAATGGCATATCCGATGAAACCCTTATCGTACTGCTGAAAATTCTTAAGAAGTATCTTTTGGATGACTCTGTAAAGATTATTGATGTAACGTCTCAAACCCTTCGGGTCAGTTTTCTAACTTTCTTAGTTATCCAAATTTCACCGTTCTCTATATTCTTTTGTCAATTCATAATTTTTCGATTCTTCCCTGTACAGATTTAACTGTGCCTCTAAGTACCGTAATGTTTGGCTATGATATATTTTGATGTGATTTCTCTCGATTCTGTAGTAACCTCTAACACTTGTTCTACTGTTTCATGGTTATCACACTCCTGCCACACTTTTATTTTTTCTTATCTTTATAACTCGTAAAATGTCTGATCTATTGATAATTTAGTAATCTACTATCACACACATGAATGTTATTAATTTTTCTGTCTGATGTGCCGTTATATTTTAGTCAAAAGATGTGTAACATATTGCTTCCTATTTGGAAAGGCTAGTGTTTGCAAGTTTTGTTCTAGAATTTCCAGGTAGCTTATATAGATGTCCCTTTCTCCTTACTTTAGGGAATTCTTTCAACCGAAAGGGGGCAGCAAGCATTATCATCTATCGATTCTTGTGAGAGATCTTTGATTGAGGTAAGTTTTTTCCACCGCATTAGCTTTCTGGTCTTGATCTACATTTCAGGGGTTGATATTCTCTCAGTTAAGTCATGTAGTGGAGAATTGTTCCCATGGGCAGGATAAAATAGTCCACCGTTAAACTTTTGAGTATATAAGATCTGGTTCTTTCAGAAACTTAAAAAAAAACTTATGATATTATGATATTTATGGATATATAAATGACCAGTGAATCCATGCAAAACATTAATGATGAATATATATTGGATCCCCCATCCTTGTTAGGCTACCTAAGTAAAAATACAGCCCTGCCTGCTCAGATATGTACTTTTTTTGTTTGTAGATACATGGCAGGGGGGTGAACCTTGACATTGTTGAAAAGATCTTACTGGATAGCCAAAAGCAGTTCAAAGGTAGTTTATTTATACCATGAATCTTGACATTGTGGAAAGATCTTAGAAGACATAATCTCAATGTGGGCCTCTCATGGTTTATGTTAACAATCCCACGTTAAAACAATTTATATTTTCTATGAACCTGTTGCTCCTGCTAGATGCTACAATTTGCTTTCATTGTCAAGTTCCAGGACGTAAGGGCCACTCTAGAAATAATTGAAAGCTGGAATCTATTGTTACTGAACGTAGGCTATCATTTATGTTATTATTGACCTACAACGAAAAATGGAGGTTACTGGTGAAGTCGTAGGCATATGAGCTCTTTTTGGCTAGTGCTTGCAATACGGATGTTTCATTCTGCACATGACATGGACATGTTGGCTCTAAAACTATTTCATTCATTTTCCATTCATATTATATAAATTACTCAAGAATGGTTCATTTTTGGCGCTGTCAGCTGAGAGCTTTTCACTGGAGAGGTCTGAAGTGTGGTCCACAGATAATAAAAATTTTGACAGATGGATTTGTCAGCTTGTGTACTGTATGATCGCTTTATGTGACGATGTCCCATTAAGGTATCTGTTTGGTTCCTTCTTACCAGAGTTATCCAGTTAAAATATTCAAGTTAAATCTTGCACTCAGTTGATCATTGTTGCTGCTTCGTTTGACAGGTTATGCCAGAACATAGCAATGCTGAAAGCTGAAATCTCTGAGCTTCTATTTCCAAGTGTTATTGTTAGTCTTGCAGGAAGGATAGGGACAGATATCAATGTACACGAATTAATTACATCCCAGGTATCTCTCGTCTCTTTTTTTGGGTGAGATCCAAGACCAGTAATGCTCCGTTTTTCGTCGCCTTGCAATGTTTCTTCTCTGTATCTGTTTGTTGAACCAAATCCACTTACCTTGTGTACTTTTCTTTTCCCCATCTTGATTTTTGTGTACAACAGAATCAAAACCATTACAGAGAACTATTTGTTACTTTTGCTAAAGTTTGTTATCCCCATTTGGCAGGTGAAAGAGCATATCTTCATTGATTCAAACAAGCTAACAAAGTCGAAGCAGATTATGTTAAGTACTCTGAATGAACTGCGGATGTGTTATGTCCTGGAACGATCGATTTTTTCTGGGCAAACTAAGAGAGAAAAGGTTAGGGTAAATGTAATGATTCCAGCACTGACCCAATTGCATTAGTTTTCTTTTAAATTCCTTAGAAAATATGTTTTCCTGCATAAGATCTAGGCTTCAACACCAATAACTGAAGAAGGTATTCATGGGAAGCAAATAAGGACAGTGTGCTATTTTTATCCTCTCTACAGTGAAATTTGATATCATAAGAGTTCCTCATATAAAAAGAACACTACGAAATATGAGAGATGAATGACCAAAACAAACGTTTGAAATGTTCTTGCAGAACACTAAGCATTCTAGCTACAATTCAAGATCTTCCTCCACGGCTACTAAGATTAGAGACGTGGAAATAGCAAGAAATGGAATGGCAGCGTCCATAACCTCAAATTGGGACAAGGTGTACTCTTTATTATATTAACTTCCATTACCATATATTGTTACGAGGATGAGTATTTGCTGATCAAATGTTTTTTTTTTTTATTATCTTTTTAATTCATAGTGACTTTTGTTGAACAGGTTTATTGGCTTTCCATTGATTATCTGGTTGCTGCCAGATCAGCAGTAGTGAGTTATCCTTTTTTATTTTAAATCATTAACCAAATTTTGAATTATTTGCAGCATATAACTCTTTTCGTTCTTCCCAGGTTTGTGGTGCATATTTGACGGCCTCCATGTACGTGGAGTACTGGTGTGAGGAGAAATTTGGCAGTCTAAGCCTCGGAGATCCTGATTTTTCTTACCATGATATGGTAATTTATAAACAATGCATGTTAACCATTGGGAATTACTGAACTAGATAATATTGTACTCAGGCACCTTTATGGTTTTCATCGTCTTAACTAAATAACTAATAGGCATTGTGGTTTATGCTTAATGACTAACGTATTCATGAATCATCGTCATATATGAAACTTTCATGGGATGCATTTTTACAACACTGCAAATAAGAGTTTTTGCATGATTTTATGTGGCAGAGATAGTGGTATGTTTGTGTCGCTTTCTAAGCTTTCCTTTTCTTTGTTGTTAACAGTTACCGGATCATGTTGAGATACTTGTGTCTGCAATAACAAGAATAAACGAGCCTGACAGCTTGTATGGGGTTATACATTCAAACAAGGTTCGATTCTGATACTAAAAGTCTGTCCTATATAGTACATATCGGATAAGTGATCCCACACATTTGGAACTTTTGCCTATTGGAAATGCTTTGCTAGTCAGTATTTTCCTGATGTGGTAACATTAGCCCTTTCGTCACCTACTGTAAGAATGTTGTGAGAAGTCTGACATGATTCCGCTGCTAATATCAGATGAGTGTAGAGGGTCCAAATAGAATATTACAACCAAAATAGTGAAACAACTATACTAACTAAAATATATTTTGGCTGTTAAATGAAACGTGAGATGTTAAATTTTTTCTTTGATTTATTGTTACTACTGAACAATGAAGCATATTTATGCCTAGTACCAAGGATGTCCAGGAAGAAATGAATTTACCAAATCGTATGCATTACTTTTTGATATTTTGCTGGTTTCATATATGTCATTAACACTTCCTATTCCTGTAATATGGATGCAATCTAAAAGTTGTCTGCCCAAATAACCACATTTGAGCATGAGGGAAACTGGACTAGGGCACTCGAGTACTATGACTTGCAAGCACGTTCACAGAAAATGGTGGTGCCTGGTAGCCTTTCTGAAAATCTAGAGGTGGAACATAATCAGCCAACAATTACTGCAGAACATTCTGTTTTTGGCGATGGGGAGGTCCAGAGACAACCTTTCAAAGGGCTCATTAGGTCGTTGCAGCAGACAGGCTGTATGCATGTTCTGGATCTGTATTGTCGGGGCTTGACTTCCCGAGAAGGATGCTTTCAGTATGATCCAGAGTTCATCGAATTGCAGGTATTCATTATGAGTTGTGTTTTCTCCTATTTTCCAATACATGGAAGTCTGTTGTGTAAACCAGATTGTCGGTTAATACATACATATTTCATGGGATAAAGAAACAATATGATAAATTACAGATCTTGAAGGAGTAGCTTATCAGAAATGTTAACCAAATAGTAAATTTTTGGTTGGATATTTGGCCCAAAATTGAACAATTAATTAATTGAACAAGACTCAGCTTTAATATTTTAGTTGTGGTTCAGCTGCAAATTGACTTCTTGCTTGCAGTATGAGGCTGCATGGCGTGCAGGAAAATGGGATTTTTCTTTACTTTATCCACAATCGCACTCCCCACCTATGCAACATGTCAAGAACAATAACTATCATGAAAATCTGCACTGGTAATACATTTCTACGCTTATATACCGGTGATGCTATTCTTAGCCTATTAGATACTTTTCACTGTTTGTAGCTTATCGACACCGCTGGTCTTAGATTTTTATTTTCGAAGAATGATATGTTACAGAAGAGTTTTAGATTAGATTAGTTGAAACCTCCATAACTTGCTGATTTCTGGCTTTTCTTTCTTCGACCATGTCCTAGTATCAATGGTCAGTTGTAACGATGTCAATTTTAGTTTTGAAATGTCCTCAATGTTACGCATGGGACACTAGCTCACATCTTAGCCCTGTATCTTTCTCTTTAGTCTTTACATGTTTACTTCTCAGTTGTTTGAGAGCGCTGCAAGAAGGGGATTGCAATGGATTTTATGGAAAACTGAAGGATGCTAAGAAGGTAAAGCATGATTTCAGTTTATTACCATTGGATGGATTTGAAGGCTGCAAGCGTCTAATATCTGCTTTTCTCTTTTTCAGGAGCTTGTATTGTCTATATCCCGTGCAAGCGAAGAAAGCACTGAATTTATATACTCAACTGTAGTGAAACTTCAGGTATGCAAATTTAGATTGTCATTAAAGCACAACATCTTTTTCCATCATCTTGTCATTTGGATGCCAAATTAAATTTTCACCAAGATTACTTTATACTCCTTATTTTTCATTTCCTTTTGTGATAATGCTACACTCTGTGAGTGCAGTACTTCGTTTTTTGGTTAAGGTCATCTTAATCTTGATTAGTCAGAATTCTGCAAGAGCTATTGCAAGCATCAAGATCAAGATGATTAGTCAAGAGCCTCTGATGCTTGCAGTTACTCTGCAAGAGCTACTGAGCACATGATTGCACATTTCAGGTGTTGCAAGTACTATGTCGTGATGCTCACCTTTAAAAAGAAATACCTCTCCATCTCAATTTTTCCTCATAAAACTATATCCCGTTGACTAAAGATTTCATATGTTGACTGTTGAGACTTGAGAAGCTCCTATATTAAACTTGAATTTTACAAGCTGTGGGATTTGTGACTGCAAGCTGCATGTTCATTTTAGATCTAAGGAAAATGTAAAAATATTGCTTAAGATTTCGGGTCTCCTTGGTAAACAGTGGCTTTAATTTTTTTTCTGTGGAATCACTTTCTTGATTTTGGGTGTTTTATCATCTCCAGATTCTTTATCATCTTGGAGTAGTTTGGAATCTTCGCTGGACGACATCTTCACATGAAAGTGTGCATGGCTATCCAGTCAAACAAATTGCATGTGCAGAGCCCTTGACTCCAACAATAGAGCAGGTATTTTCCCTTGAAACTTTTTTTTCAAGTGGTTTTTCACTAGCTTCTAGTGAATGATTTCAAGCTTCAAAAATTTATGTTATTAGTAGCAAGTACGAAGTTGGAAAAACACCAAGGTTATATAGGATCTTTCATGTATAGTAAGATTTTAGTCTTGGCAACATAATTGTTATGTACATATGTTTATGCACAAACTATCTGGAAGCTAAGTGAGATAATCATGTTTCCTGAGGCGATTTTAAGTTATGTACTACAGTTGTCTTCGCTGAATAAAGATTGGAGCTCTATTATTACGCAAACTCAATTGCACATGAATTTGTTGGAGCCGTTTATCGCATTTAGGCGAGTTCTCCTCCAAATCATGGGATGTGAGGAATGTACCATGCAACATCTTTTGCAGTCTGCTTCGCTGCTTCGCAAGGTATGTATGAAAAGCTACAATCTACTTGTAGTAAAATGCGGTGGACCAACGCATTATCTTGTTGCTTTCAGGGATCAAGGTTTTCTCATGCAGCTGCGGCTCTGCATGAGTTCAAGTTTCTTTGTTCAAGAAGTGATGGACGACAACTCGTTCCAGATTGGCTTGGAAGGGTACATTTTTCTGACTAACCCTGCATGTTTTGTGGAATTTCAGTATCCTCCTTTTCCTCCTGAATTGTACATATTTGTACTCATAATATTTTTTATTGACATTTATGAGAGTGAGACAAGACTTACAACTGAAAAAGTTCTGATTGTCAACTGATAGTTGTTACCTAGGACATACGAAAGTTCTTATTAAACGAAGGCATTAGTTACTTTACCTCTTAGTGTAGAACATGGTTATATATCTGGTTATTAACTACATATATTCTTTCCAGTAACCTTTTGTGTTTTTTCAGATTGAAGAGGCGAAGCTATTACATGCTCAAGGGCGGCATGAAGTTGCCATCAGTCTGGCAAGCTACATCTTAGGAAATTATCAATTAAAAGAAGAGGCTTCAGATATATATCGTGTGATTGGAAAATGGCTAGCGGAAACCAGATCTAGCAAGTAAATTGTTACACCCTTTTATTTTGGTTGAAAGTAGCTTCCATCTATGCTCGTCATGAACATTTTTTCAGAAATCTCAACTCGGTTCCCTTTTTTGTTTTCTCTTGGATATAGCTCTAGAACAATTTTAGAGAAGTATCTCAAGCCTGCAGTTTCGCTTGCCAAGAAACAGAGTTCCGAGATATGCAAAAGGTTGGTAGAAAGACAGAGCCAGACTTGGTTTCATCTGGCTCATTATGCAGATGCTCTATTTAAGAGTTATGAGGAAAGACTCTCCTCCAGTGAATGGCAAGCTGCATTGCGGCTACGAAAACACAAGGTCCCCACCTTTGGTTACTCAAATATAGCTTTTTTTTTTATCATTTTATTTTTCTTTCTGTAGTTCTGTTTTGTGTAGAAAATGCCTACTTTTTATCTTTTAAAACCAAATAAATGATAATTCATTTGTTTGCTGTAATCAGTTACAACTTTAAACAGTTTCCACTCCAAAGATTGTTCTTCTTCTTTTGTGGGAAAAACTTACTAGTGTGCTTAATTTTTCAGACGAAAGAGTTGGAGGTGCTTGTTAAACGGTTTAAGAGTTCAAAGAAGGCAAGTTGTACTTTACCTCCGTTTGTTTGGTCTCTGAACAAATCTCTTTGTAAAAGACAGTATAATTGCCGGTCTAGACAAGTCTCTCATTTTATTTTCATATATGGTATTTTACCGTACTAGGGGGAACAATCTGACTACTCGCTGAAGATTCAAGATCTACAGAAGCAACTAACAATGGACAAAGAAGAGGCAGAAAAACTGCAGGTATTCTTTATTCTACCCGACAATCTGGCTACTTTGGAAAAGTAGTCATGATTTTTTTCTAAATAGGTGATATTTACTGATACGTTATCTCTCCCTTTCTCCTCAATTGCATAGATTGACAGGGATAACTTTCTGAAACTTTCGTTGGAGGGGTATCAACGTTGTCTGGAAATTGGTGACAAGTATGATGTCCGAGTGGTATGTTATCTAAGTATTTTCAGTGAGGTTTGCATATAATGTAAGATGTGAATTAGTGTCTAAGTTCCATCCTTTATAACAGGCGAGGAAGTGTTTGAGTTGGCTTTAGAGTCAAATGTGAAATTCCTTAAGAAAATAGTATTAATTGTTAGGTTACAACATCTAGTAAAAATCTACATATCTATGTTTCGCTACTGTGAATTTTTCACTCTACAACTAATCATAGTTGGGTTTCATAATAATCCTTAACAACTGTCAAGGAGCAACGTTGGACTTTTTTGGTTGTCTTAGGGGTCCAACTTGTTTTCTCTTTTCCTGTTTGCGGTCTTAAGCTGCTTGTCAACATTTCTCAGTCTGGTTTTTGTTTGTATAGCTATTGGTCATATCAATCGTCCTTTGATTCTGGGGTACGTGTTGAAGTACATTTCATGTGGAACAGTGGACCTCTCGAGATAGGAAATATCAACTTGTAGAGATAGGTGTAAGGTTTGGGATATATGTACGCCTACCTATATATGTCAGATTCATAATAAAGTCAACTTGTAGAGATAGGTGTAAAAATAGGCTTTCGTATTTGAGATTCTTGTCCAATTTTGTCGAACACATCATCCAAGAAAGATATCTGGGAGATCTAGCAGAAACGTGGTGAATTCCCTTATATTGTTGAAATATGGAAACATTGCTGGAACGAATTTCTCTTTCTACAGGTCTTTCGACTAGTATCCATGTGGTTTAATCTCGCCTCCCAGAAAAATGTTATTGCTAGCATGTTAAGCACCATCAATGAGGTAATTGACTGATAGGGTCAGATTTAATCTGTTATAGAGAAGGAAGTCGTTTGTTATTTCTCCAATTTTCTTGTTAAATTAACCAATTTCCAACTCCCTTTATGTTCTTGCAGGTTCAGTCTTACAAATTTGTACCACTTGTTTATCAAATTGCCTCAAGGTTGGGCAGTTCTAGAGATGAATCAGGATCTAACAGCTTTCAGGTGGAATGCATTTTAATTTGGTTGTCATAGAAAACTTAAGACCATAAATGGTCTAGCTAATTTTTACTATTTACCACTTGCAGTCTGCTCTGGTTTCACTTGTCAGGAAAATGGCCATTGATCATCCATACCATACTATCTTTCAGGTTTGGAAGAACCTGTTATCCGTCTTCTTTATTCTTAATGTTTCATTTTTCCTGCTTGGTTAACTGGCATAGGACTTGCTAGAAGTGCATAACGTAAAAACCTTGAATGTCCTATGACATCTTGAATCTGTTTAAATATGGTGAACACAGTAAAGTCCGTTGTGTTGTGTAGCGAGCCATGGAAAGTTACATTAGCAAGTGACTTTGTCTATCTCTTTTGAAGCCACGTTTCTAAAATGCTGGATATATATAATTGTCATTTGATTTTGTTCTAGCTTCTGGCTTTGGCAAACGGTGACCGAATCAAGGATAACCAACGCAGTAGAAATTCTTTCGTGGTTGATATGGATAAAAAGCTTGCAGCAGAGCATCTCTTGCAGGATGTATCACAGTATCATGGGCCTATGATTAGACAAGTAAACCTTATTTTCATCTAATCTTACGCATCATAGACTATTTTGCCTGGTTACTTATCAGCAAATTATGATTTTTAATTTTCAGATGAAACAACTGGTAGATATTTACATCAAGCTTGCAGAGCTTGAGACGAGGAGAGAGGTCTGAGAATTTTTTAAGAATAGACGAGTGTATGGTTATGCTGTTTGTTGGACGCATATAACATATGCGGAACTTTTTCTTTTGCAGGATACCAATAAAAGGGTAGCACTACCGAGAGAAATTCGTAGTGTGAAGCAATTGGAACTTGTAAGCACGTCATCTTTTAATTATTCATTTACTTGCTGCATGAGCTTGCAAGCATGTTTTCCGTTTTCCAGCTTGGTTCAGATATTGATTCCGCCTTTTCTCTATGATTCTAATGTATCTGTCAAACTTGTATTGTTTTTTTGCTTTTGTTTGAGTTTAGGTACCTGTAGTGACTGCTACAATTCCTGTTGATCGCAGCTGCCAGTACAAGGAAGGGTGGTTCCCTTTTTTCAGAGGTTTATCCGATTCTGTTACGTAAGTCCCTGTCCTATCAATATAACAATTTCGACACTTTTTGTTTAAAGAGTACCTTATCTGAGACTACTTCTTCTGGTTATGCAGAGTGATGAATGGTATTAATGCTCCAAAAGTAGTTGAATGCTTTGGCTCTGATGGCCGAAAATATAAGCAACTTGCAAAATCGGGCAATGATGACCTCAGACAAGATGCTGTAAGAGTTTCAGAATTTTTTTATCTGATTATCTAACTTGCAATGTCGGTAATGTGGCACTGTTCCATCTACTGGAAGAAAATTGAAAATATGCTGACCTAGCCAAGCTTTACATATACAATGGTCTAGTTATGCAAAGCGTGTACCATTTGGTTTCAGGTTATGGAACAATTTTTTGGGCTCGTCAATACCTTTCTACATAATAACCGGGACACATGGAAGAGAAGATTAGCCGTACGCACATACAAGGTATGTCTCTGTAATCTATCTACAAGAGGTAGCCCGTTTCTTTAGAGAAAATTTGATATATTCAGTAAGTTTAAACCTTTTATAATTATATGTATATATATATATATTCTCAGGTTATTCCTTTTACTCCAAGCGCTGGTGTTCTTGAGTGGGTTGATGGCACAATTCCACTTGGAGATTATCTTATAGGAAGGTTGGTCCAGTAAATTAGTATTTACAGTTACATGTTACAACAATCACACTTTTAAGTCGTAACTGTTCGAATCTGCTGTTTACATATCAAGTCACAGTTCAAGGAGTGAGGGCGCTCATGGTCGTTATGGCATTGGAAACTGGAAATATCCTAAATGCCGAGAACATATGTCGAGTGTAAGCTCATTTCATTTCTCCGATCTAGTTACTTGGCCATCATTTGCATCTGGTAATTTTCCTCAATTGATCTGGAATGACTGGTGGCTTGTAGGCAAAGGACAAGCGCAAAGCCTTCATGGATGTCTGCACAAACTTCAGGTTTCGTTTCTTTGTGAAACGTGTACTTACTCCGTCGGTACTGGTTGGTAGCTGACAAATCCATCCCTTTTTGCAGGCCTGTCATGCATTACTTTTTCCTGGAAAAATTCCTGCAGCCTGCTGACTGGTTTGTGAAGAGGCTTGCGTATACACGTAGTGTTGCAGCTAGTTCAATGGTAAGTGTATCCACGTTTGATGATATTTATTCTCTCTTTCAGTTTATAATGGATGGGAGTTTCAGTTTATGTATAGTTTTAGCATATATAACGGAAAAAAATCATTCATAGACTTCGAAATGGCATTAAAATAAGCTATCAGAGAAAGTGGAATACATATAGGAAGCTGTTAATCTTAGTTGAGTTTAAATTATCTTAAATGCTCATAGATTTGCAAACAAAAGAGAGCTGCCACCTTTTCAATCTCAACTTTTCAGTGAAGAAGGGCATTGGATCATCCTATTCATCTCTATTTTGTTGTTGTTGACATACAAAAATAAGACATGGTTGTATTCTTACTTGAGGCACCTGAAATAGAAGTTCATAATTTCTCCCTCTGATCCATTTCCTTTTGAACATTTGGGATATGTTTTGCTATCAGGTTGGGTACATCGTTGGTCTTGGTGACCGTCATGCCATGAATATATTAATCGATCAAGCCACAGCAGAAGTTATTCACATAGATCTTGGAGTTGCTTTTGAACAAGGATTAATGCTCAAGACTCCTGAACGGGTATGTTCCTTTCCATCTACACTCTTTAAATATTTGATTGGCATCTGCACGATTCTCATTTGTTCAGTTTCTTCCCGATTTGACAGGTCCCTTTCAGGCTGACAAGAGACATAATTGATGGAATGGGTATCACAGGAGTGGAAGGCGTTTTCAGGAAATGTTGTGAAGAAACCCTGTCTGTGATGCGAACAAATAAAGAGGCGCTGCTGACAATTGTTGAAGTAACCCGATCTTATTAAAGTTCATTTTTGGATGTTTAAAATATAAAAACATATATTTTGAATGCTCAGTCAAGGACGCTTGTTTTGCAGGTTTTTATACATGATCCTCTGTACAAATGGGCATTGTCCCCCTTAAAGGCTTTGCAAAGACAGAAGGTACTTCGTGCCCTTATAGACTATATAAGTTATAGTTTTAAATTGTACATGAACAAGAACAACGTGTGTTGCAATCTCTGCAAAAAGAAGTTAGAAAGTGGACTTTTCTTACGGATACTTGCATGTAGAGTAGGCCAGAAGGCAAATATGTCTGTTGTTTATATAAATGCCAGTTTGGAGCTCATTCTTTGAAACTATCTCGACGCAGAAAATTGTGCAAATCATTCTTTGTTCCACTTCATTGTCTTGTCCTGTCAATGTTAGGATATTTTTATAGTATTGAAGATGTTGTCGAGTTACTGAAACAAAGGTGTCTTTGATCCAGGAAAGTGAAGATGATGATGGCATGAACTTGGAAGGATTACAAGAGGAATTCGAAGGTAACAAGGATGCTGCACGTGCCTTGATGCGTGTCAAGCAAAAACTCGATGGCTATGAGGGTGGTGAGATGAGAAGCATTCATGGCCAGGTAAGTTTTTTTTTTTTTTTTGACATTTTTGATCAAAAGTTAAAACAGCAAAAGTTGTTCTTGGAATCACAAGATTTTCTCAAACACTGTTAAATTGCTTTGTAGGCACAGCAACTGATACAAGATGCAATTGACACAGATCGTTTATCACATATGTTCCCTGGCTGGGGAGCATGGATGTAACTCTATCAAACCTTCTTCTACATTTTCTTCCAATATTTGGTCTGTAGATATAGAGATCTTTATGTAAAGTTCAAAATACTTTAGCTGCCAAATTTTGTATAACTCATGAAGGTGTAGGGAGCATTCTAATATTTGTATCGTCGTGTGTATCTTTGAATTGGCGATACACTTATACAATAGGAAGTATTCACAATTCCAAATCCATACTCGGAAAACATAACCACATTCAAAGATTATCGCCAATTGCAGGAAAAATGCTTTGAAGACTGTAAATTGATAACTGAAACTGAATTATGTATGGGTTTTAAGATATAGCCTGTGCTAAAAGTTCTTCTATCCATTACAAAAACTGGTCAAATAAGAAGTTGATATGAACCAATCAGGGATGTGTTTTCATCTGTTAAGACACGCAAGTTTGTCTTTGCAACTACAAACAGGATGAAGACGGACAAAATAATTTTTTTTTTTAAGGGACAATTTGGTAGAAAGCTAAGCGTTAAGTTTTAATTAGGAAAACAACAAGACTCAAATGATCTAGAAGAAACTAGCTAAAGGGTGACGAACAGTGATTTGTGGATTTGATTATTTACGTTTGATGCCATTGCATGCGCGTGGAGTAAAAAGCTATCTGAATATGTACAACTGAATAAAATAAGGAGAGGTGTTAGCAAAATCAGACAACTGTCGGTTTGACATTAAATGAGGAGACAGGATATTCTCCTCGCTGCCTGACGTGTGCATGAAATAGTCTGAGGTGATGTGTAGTTAATGCAATATAGTAATGCTACAACAAGAATTTTTGAGAGATATGACAGAAAAATTAAAATATATGAGTACACCTAGGTTTGTGGAGTGTCAGCTGATAACTTGGAGAATGAATGTACATATTATAGACGTGGTAAATGTATACATATACTATATTGTAGCGTGTTATTTGATATGATAGAGGTGTATGTTTATAAATGAGTAGCGTAAACTAAATGTAAGTCTACAAAGAGTAATAGATATCTACTAACTTTGATAGATGGTTATTATCTAGTTTGTAGTGTTATTCAAAATGATTGGTGGTTTTATGTATGAAGAAAAATGTACACATATATTATATTGTAACATGTTATTTGATCTGATGGGGGTTTAATGATAAATGAGTAAAGTAAACTAAATATAAGTGTACAAGATGTTGTAGTTGTTTACTAACACTGAGGGACGATTACCAGCTGTTTTGGAGTGTTATTTAATATAATAGGTAATTACATGTATGAAGGAAAAAACTATTTACTTTTAAGTTTTTAATATGTTATCGATATCTAACTACATATAAGCCATGTGACAATCGCAAACTCGCGTAGAGAGGATTTGATTGGCTTCCCCCCGAATATAGACCAAATCTCATGCTTTTTGACAGTGTTAGGCTGTCTGGTTAGAAGAAAGTGGGCAAGTTTCACATATGGAGCGGCTTTATGGTACAAGCCAAGCAGCTTTCTAAAGCACGTTCACGGACAGATGACATTCAGTTCCTCCGGTGTGAGGGCTTTGAGAACAGCACCAATTGATTCAAGCTTAAAGTACGAGTTGACCCTGCCACCCATTGGCTCGTGGTGATCGGTAAATAGACTATGCAAAAGATCATTGGTAGCCATACCTGCGCAGTAAAGGATAGTAAAAAGTTATCAGATAAACATACAAGTTTAGATAATGTTTTGTAAGATCTAAATACGGTGATGGATGTCTATTTATCTGAGATGATGTACATATATAAATGTGAACTTTATACTGTGATTTAGATATCTAATGAAATCAGATAACTAAATAATTTTAAATGATATTTTTTTAAGGTCTAACTAAGGTGATAGATGAATATTTATCCAAAATAATTTACTTATTTAAATGTGAACTCTATATCGTCATTTAGATATACAATAAAATTAGATAAACATGCAAGTTATGGTATATATTCAATATAAGCTATATACATATATGTTCACATAAAAATATATACCTCTGTTAAAGAATATAGATTTGTAAAAAGTAAAGTAAGCATACATAAACTAACATAGCATATATGTGTTCAACATATGATATATACAAACATTTGAGATCTGACAGATGTGAGAACACGATCAAAGCAATAGCTTGAAATGCTGGATTAGAGCGATCGCTCAGTTAATCAATCCATAGAGCGAGATCAATCGAATATGATCTCGAAAACCCAACAATGAGTGTGAGAAAAAAATCTTACTTAGGAAAAAATGGAGAATCTCATAAGTTAGGTTTTAGCAGAAAAGTTGATGGCTCAACCCCAGATCTGATTGTATATTGATTGTTTTGAGAAGATTTTCCGTTCTCGGAGATACCTGTGGACGAGTAGCGAGAACGATGCCAATGATGTGAAGAGTGAAGATTTGGCTGAGGCGGTGATGGTCAGATCGGCAATAAGTAATGAGATCATCTTGGCCTTATTGGAGCCACCGAGATGGTGTCTTTGAAAGGAAGAAAATTGGGGTCAGAAGGTACCAAAAGAGAAGAAGAATTACATTGATGAAGAAAGATGAAGAGGTGGATGACAAATAGATAAAGACAAGATGAACAATTGTTGTAATCAAATAAATATCCAGTAGAATAACATGATACACATGGATAACGCATGAGGGTATTTTGGAGAGAGAGTGTGGTGAAATATTTTAATGCTCGAGCGATGAAAAACAATAGTCAATTCCCTAATTCACTATCCGTCTTTAGCCATTTAGTGCAATTCCTTTTTTTTTAATTATATGTTAAATTAATTCAAAGAAAACTATTTTTACATCAAGTGCTACTATCTCGAATTTATAGAGAAAGAATAGAAGAAATGGAAAAAATCAAAAAATTTCGTCGTCGAGACTTGCTCAAACAATATTTCTATTGATTCAGTATCGTATGTTTTCTCAGTTCTTGTGAGTGCTGAGAATGACTTCTTCTTCAACTAAATTATTGGACGCCGGTTTTACGTTAAAGTTTCTCGACAGCAGAATTCGAAACTGTTTTAATGCTCGAGCGATGAAAAACAATAGTCAATTCCCTAATTCACTATCCGTCTTTAGCCATTTAGTGCAATTCCTTTTTTTTTTAATTATATGTTAAATTAATTCAAAGAAAACTATTTTTACATCAAGTGCTACTATCTCGAATTTATAGAGAAAGAATAGAAGAAATGGAAAAAATCAAAAAATTTCGTCGTCGAGATTTGCTCAAACAATATTTCTATGCTAATCTTCTCTGTATAATTTTAATTTTATCAGTTCTTGTGAGTGCTGAGAATGACTTCTTCTTCAACTAAATTATTGGACGCCGGTTTTACGTTAAAGTTTATAGACAGCAGAATTCGGAACTGTTTTCGCTTACAGATTAACGAGAAATCGATCAGAAAATTTAGACCATTTCTCGATTTGTGCATGTTATCCTTTGAACAGAAACCATGCTAATCTTCTCTGTATAGTTTTAATTTTATCAGATGTCTCCGAAGGGACAATCATATCGTCGCCTCCTGCGTTATATAAACCTTTCATTTAGTTTTATGCTCACCGATGTGGGACAAATTAACACACATGAGAGATTTAACTATTTGGGCTTGTGGGCGTTTTGTTAAATCTCTTTTGTGTGTTATTGGTCTAAATGTTAAATCTTTCAAGTCCAACTAGTCCAATATTTCAGAGAAGATTGGCCCAATAATTTCTCGCAAGAAGATATTTAAATAATTTGTCCACATCCATTTGTTTCGTCAATTTTCTTTGAAATGTAGTTTCGTTTTTAATTAAAAGTTTGGGTGTAGTGTTTACAAAAATTGTTGGCTGTTGCTAATGTTCCATTTCATTACTGTTTGGAACTAAATTTTATGGGATCAAAATTCACATTGTATATATTTTGGTTGACTAAAAACTTTATTACATATTTGGGAAAATGAAGTAGAAATTATATGAGAAACAATCAATATGTTGTTGATACATGAACACAGTTATCATCAAATTGTAGGTATTACACGTGAACACAATTACATTACACTGAATCAGCATCAAAATGTCATTCACTTTTTTTGGGGGTTAATAATTCAAGTATTATATAGAAATGAAAACATGAGGCTTTACACAGAGAATAACTTAATGGCTTGTTACGTTGGCAAAAGAAATAAATAAATAAAAATAAAGAGCAGCAATTAAGTTACTGAATTGCTTTCTATGACCCATAGTTGAGTTTGTGTTTTGGATCTAGCTTTTTTGCATGTTACATAGCAAATATGTAAAGCAAACAATCTCAAGCATACAACTTTTGCTTATATTGCGTAAAAGAAAATTTCACTAGACCGTATTTTATTATCTTTTTACAAGAAAACGTAAAAATAAATTAGATTTAAATAAATACAATTGGTTGTATATTAAACTGAGGCATACATTACAAAAGACAGGGTTTTACACAAGTACATATACATAAAAGAATCAGACCTATAGATCATTGGTTGGAAGCGAACTCATTAAAATAGTGGTTTCTTTGTCTTTCTTTATCTTCCCAAATAAACTCGAGAGGAATCGTAGAGGCAAGACAGACGCAGAGTCTGATTTCTTCTCCGACACTTGCAGCTGCTCTCCAGAGCTCTTGTTCGGCTTCAGTTGTGCTCCGCAATGGCAGTTTGAGAGTCTTGAGAAGCATCTCTTGTGGAAAACCGAACCGCACGATCGGCATTTGCTAACATCATCTTCCTGCTAATCATTTGTTTCAATGTATGTCGGAGAATATCTGCATATTTATAACCATAGTAAGCTATAGATAGATGCTTACCTGGAACGGAAATATTAAAGAGGATGTGTCTTCACAAGCTTGTCGGGCATTACAAGGAACCCCCACGTCGCAACACACAAGGCACTGTTCTGTAATATGCTCCAGGATTTTCCTTCTAACGGTCTCCACGATCGCAGGAAGTGCTGCCAATTCAAGGTTAATGTCTTTAAATCTCTTGAATTTCACGATGCAAGGAAACATCAAACAAATAGCAGCGTGGAGTTGAATTGTAAATCAATTGCTAGAGAAATATGGAATGTGAATTAAACTTCATTATCTTTGAAGACATCCATCACCAGTAAACAAGATATGTGCAAGCATGAGGAGGAGTTATGTATGAGATAAGCAGATACAGATGAACTTTAAATCTTGGTTCAAGAAAAGAAATTTACCTGCAAATGGGCCTTTAGAAAGATCAATTAGATCTCTCAAAGCGAAAAAATCAGTGCTCTCAAGAAGGTATCTCCGAGTACTGATTCCTTTGTTGAGTGTCTTGCAGAATGAGCAGTGTACATAAGGAAGCATAATGGTTATTTTTTTCTGGATGCTCATAATATGATTGAGCGCAGGGACCTTCGACGACAGAAATGGATTTACCGCGCTGACACAAAGCATAGGCTGTTAAATAAGCTTTTTCACACACGTCAGTCAACCTTAGCTTCAAATAAGTATATGAGGTTACATCATATACGTAAAGCTTCGAACAATGAGCAAGTCAACTCTATTGTGGTACTAGATGCATATATCAAGCTGAAGGCAAGGTATTGCACAGGCAAGTGTATAAATCAGTGTCCAGAAAATGACAATACCAAATATCGTTAAGACCTAACTGACCTGATCGTGTGTGGAGTCCAGATATGATTTTGCCAATTGAGAAACTGGATAACGATTGAAATCCCAATGATGTAACACTCTCGCTGGTAGGACGGCCATGTCATTTGTATGGCAGGAAGAACAAAACAATTGACCAGTATACTCGCAAAGCCGAGGTTTACCCCATCCAAGAGCTTTCACAAAGTCCCGTACCAGAGTGGCTCCATCATCAAAGTATATGTGGCATCCAGCGCAAATGTAATGCTGAGCTTCTAGCAACTGCTTTACTGATTTGTGAGGTCGAGTATCAACAACGAGCGAGATGGTGTTTCCATAGGAAGAGCTACTTGCAGCAGCAGGGCCTGTTGGAGACATTATAGAATCAGACCCAGAGGAACTTGCATCTTGAGGGGACAAAAACCGAAGCAGAGCACTTGGAAGCGCGGGAAAAAACCGAGACTGAAGAACTGAATTTAAACAATCTTGAATAAGGACAGTCCTTTCAGCAACGGCACTGGGAGATGTTCCAAATATTTTCCTAGATTCTCTTTCCACAGAGGCCCAAGGTGTAGGAAGCGACCAGCCTTGATCAGCAAATAAAGATGTCAATCGACGGTAGAGACTATAAAAGTCACGATATCTTCTTTCAATCTCCCACTTGTCTTTCCCACTCCACACTCTTATGACATACACTGTGTATTCCTTCACCCCGACCAATCTCTCACTCAGTGAGACATCACCTTTCTTTTGCTTCACCCCGACGACTTCAACCCTATCAATCCTAAATCGCTGGGAGACTACTGGAGATGAATCGTCTAGACCAGAAGTTGTAGCAGTTTGTCCACCATCCCTGTTGGGCAGAGAGAGCTGTAGCTGGAACATCTTGTCACTCTTGGAATACCTCGCCCCAGATGAATCACCGGAGTCGAGCAGTATTTCTTCCATATCATGAACAAAATCATCATACAAGTCGTTAGCTTCTGTGTTCTCCTTCTGCAAGATACGTAATCCGAAACCAGAAAACTTCATTCAAATAATGAAAGAGTCATATCAAAAAGAGGTTCAGTAGATTCCATAGAGTTTAGAGATTGCATGGTCCCTTCTTAATGAGCAATTAAGTTAAAATGGGGACAGTAAGTTAATGAGCAATTAAGTTATAATGGGGACAGTAACACAGCAGTAAAATGGGGACAGTACAACAAATTGACAGGCAGAGAAAAATAAAGTAACTTGTGTTTTCATGTATGAAGCAGCTGACCTTAGGTTGGATGTTAGTGACGTGTAAGCCATTTATCACAGGATGAGAATCTCTAGATGACGGCTTATTAGAATTCCAAGATGCCAACAACGTTTCTGAGGTGGAGTCTCCAAATGGATTTGGCTGTTTTGCATTCTCAGATGATTCATGAAGTAGTCCAAGAGAAACATCGCTATCTAAGTGGCAAACCGCACCCGAAGAATCTTCGTTTCCTAACTCAATAGGTGTAATATCTAGGACGTCGTCAGCGCTACAAGACTGAAGGTAATTCATGACTAAAGGTCTATCTTCAGTTTGCTTGTTGCCAAGAGATTCTTCTGTGACCAGTGACTGCGGAACCACCAAGATTTTGACTTCAGCACTCACGTCCTCAGAACCTCTGACAGTTATGCTGTGTCTTGATATGCCACCTTGCTCCCTTTGGTTCAAGACAGTCAAATCGCTAGATCTAAGTATATCTTTAACATTTTCACGGAAGTCACCTGCATCTGAAACATGTCTAGTGCTCACAGTTACGTTTGTATGTTCCAACTCTTTTCCTGCTTGAGCTACATCTGGAAGCTTTTTCAAAGCTGCAGAAAATGATTTTGTGGATGTACCTTCACTTTCAGCGCACCCTTTATCACGCTCCTCAAATCCACTGAAATCTAAACGAGTGTCAACAAGCTCCGTGGCTTCAAGCTCAAACTCATTCCAATCATTTGTACCAAAGGCAGTGGAAGAATTGATGAGAAAAGGATTATCGTTCTCAGCTTTAGACTCCTCTTTGTGCAGCAAATTGCCTGGAAAATATATGTTTTTACCAGAATGATCACTAAATGAGTCGTCACCATCAGAATGCTCATCATCTCTATCTACTAGACCACTTTCATGGAACTGCAAATCTGATTCACACAAAAAATCCTTGTCATCCACATCACTCAGCTGGTTCACTGAATCCATTTCAGCTGTAGCTTCATCATCACAAACATTAGCACCCATCAAATCGCCACACATAGCTTCACTAAATCCAGTTTCTTGGATCATGTTGGTGTTCACATTCTCGATGCCTGCGCTAGTAACTCTCTCATTATAATACCCATTTGTCGTCATACCCTCGTCGGAAAACCCAATTCCTCCTCGATCACCTAATCGCGTAATATCCAAAGAGGACAGCTTTAGACTTGGTCCCAAGGAGAAATTCTCAAACTCGGTGGCATCGCCAGACAGAAAGCTTCCCTTGAAAGAGCCGAATTCTGATTCCAGCGAATCGTGAAATGGTCCTGTGGAGCTGCACATACTTGGCGTCCCCATAGCCGAATTCGCACTACAATACCGCTCGAAATCTGATTCGCCGCAGGAGGAGTAATGTAACGACGAGCTCGGAGAGGCATCCCGGCCGATTTCCTCTAGAGAGGCGACTCTCGAGGATTCCTCTCCGTTGATCATTAGAACCACAACCAAAAAAACCAAAACCAAATCGAGCCCGGATTGAGAACAGTAATCCAATAAAATTCAAACAGATTCGATCGGAGACGGATACTCACACCAATTTGATGCAGATCCAAGGACGGCGAAATCCCCAAATCAGAAGAAAACTGAAAATTGAAATTGATCGACCCAAGTACTTTGTGAAAGACGAAGCAACTGGGGAACTGAGATTAAGATTGGATCCGTGCAGGATAAAATCTGGGGAATACGTAGATTAGTTTCGTCTTTGTGCTTCCAGCTTCTTCATTTCCTTCGTATTGATTGAATTTTCCGGCCAAAAGCATGATTTTTTCGACGCTGGCAGTTTCCACAATTTTAAATTAATATTTTTCGCAAAGGAGATGGATACAATGTGATTGTTGATTATCCAAAACTCTGGTTACTTGTAATAATATTTTTTTAAAAAATTAATATTTTGTTAAATGGATAGTGATTATCCATTTATTTTTGTCTTTATACATCATATTAAAAAATAATATTTATTTATAAGTTTTAGATAATACTTATCCATATGTTTTAGATAATGCTTATCTATATGTTTTGTCTTTATAGATTAGTTTACTTCACTATGAAGTAAAGTTTTTTCTATAAATAGGTAACTTCATTCTTTGTAAAATCATAAGTTCAGAAGAAAAAAACAATGAAGTTCTTATGTTCATCTTTCTCTCTTTCTCTCTGATGTTCAAAAGATCTTAAACTCTTCTTTGCTTTTCTTTATAAAGCATAAGTTTACAACACGTTATCAGCACGAACGTCTCTTGATCTATATCTGGGAGTTAGATCTATACCAGAGAGATAAGATTCATTTATGTTCAATTTATTTTGAATATTATGATTTACGGAAAGATAGGCTATGCCTTCTCCGTTTATATGTTATGTCGGGATGGAAGGCTCTGCCTCATCCGAGCTGATCGTTATGGTAGGCACTACCTCCACGGTCAAATAATTATATTGTTTATTTATTATGCCGGGATGGTAGGCTATGTCTCCTCCGAGCTGATCGTTATGGTAGGCACTGCCTCCACAGTCAAATAATTATATTATTTATTTATTTTGCCGGGATGGTAGGCTATGTCTCTTCCGAGCTGATTGTTATGGCAGGCTCTGTCTCCAGAATCAAAAATAATCACATGGCAGACTATGTCGCCTCAGATCATATTTATTTATTTATTATGTAGGAGATTAAAATCCCCATCTTTGTTCATTTATTTATTATGCAATCAGCAATTGTATGATAGGCTCTGTCTCCTTATATTGCTTTTAATTATTGTCTTTTATTATGCCGTTACTATGCTCAAATTTTTAATCTGATAAATTAAGCTTTTGTTATTGAGTAATAATTTGTCAAAGCTCGAGATCGCCACGCTTAAGTTGTATGAAAAAAAAAATATGTCTTGGGCGGTAGGTGCAAAGTTGCATCTAGAGTGAAATGATCTCTTGAGCACTATCGATATGTCGGAAACGATATTCGATAAAATAAGGCAAATATCATAATTTTTTTACGCCACCATATCCATGATGGTTTAAATGATAAATCCATCACGAGTAAAGATCCTGAAGATCTTGGAAAATAAGTGGTTGAATCTCCAGGCGAGAAAATTCACCCAAAGCTCGGAGTTGATATAAATCCTCCTGGTAGCTTAATAATATAATAAACTCGTGATGAGAAACCATCAGTTTTGTCCATCTAAATTGACTCTATTCCTAGGGGAGAATGTTGAGTAATCCACTTAGAGTAAGTGTGATGGACAAATTCAATGAAAAAAGGGATGATGGTTGGGACGTTGAAAGACAAAAGCTTAATGGTTTTGATGTATTATATGATTTTGCTTTAGATGCTTTTGCTGTAGGTTCTATTGTACCATAAGCGGTATTGCCAGATATGTGTTTAATACTTATTAATGCATCTTTTATGAATATTTTAAATTCAGAAAATATCAGAATTTGAGATTTATGGATGGAGATACTTGTCTAGCAGACAGTGCTACGACACATACAATCCTTAGGGATAAAAAGTATTTCTCCTGTCTCAAAATGAAAGTCTCCGCTGGAAGCGTGAGTACTATAACTGGTATTGCAAAGATTATACTAGGCTCCAGAAGAGCAAGTTTTTCATTGCCAAGGGGTACAGAGTTTGTAGTGCAAGATGCATTATACTCCCCCAAGTCTCAACGGAACTTATTAAGTTTTCGAGATATCCACAGAAATGGATATCATTTTGAGACTATTAATAAGAATGGCATTGAATATCTTTGCATTACAACGGAGAGTAAACATCAGTTGGAAGTGTTACCAATGATGTCCTCCGAATTATATTGCACAAAGATAACCATGGCTGAATCACATGTTGCGGTAAACCAGAAGTTTACCAGCACTTTTAGAGTATGGCATGAAAGGTTAGGCCATCCTGGTTCAGTCATAATGAGAAGGATTGTGCAAAATTCGAGTGGCCACCCATTGAAAAACCAGAAGATTTTTTAATCGGGAGAGTTTTCATGTAAGGCATGTTCTCAAGGAAAACTCATATGTAGGCCCTCGCCAGCCAAAGTTGGGAATGAATCCCCTGTATTCTTAGAGAGAATACATGGTGATATATGTGGGCCGATTAACCTACCGTGCGGGCCATTTAGATATTTCATGGTATTGATTGACGCATCTAGTAGATGGTCACATGTATGTCTTTTGACCACAAGAAATATGGCTTTCGCAAGATTCATTGCCCAAATAATTAGGTTGAGAGCGCATTTCCCTGATTATGCCATAAAGAAAGTCAGGCTTGATAACGCTGGTGAATTCACTTCAGCGGCCTTTAATGACTATTGTATGTCTTTGGGAATCGATGTTGAGCATCCAGTTTCGCATGTTCATACACAAAATGGCATGGCTGAGTCATTGATTAAGCGGTTGCAATTAATTGCAAGACCGTTAATCTTGAGAACAAAGCTTCCAATCACTGTATGGGGACATGCTATATTGCATGTTGGGGTAATGGTCCAGGTAAGACCAAGTGCGTATAATGAATATTCCCCCCATACAGTTAGCATTTGGCCAGAAGCCAGATGTATCCCATCTTCGTGTGTTTGGGTGTGCGGTCTATGTCCCTATAGCGCCACCTCAAAGAACAAAAATGGGACCACAAAGAAGATTGGGAATATATATCGGGTATTCGTCACCAAGTATAATTAGGTATCTTGAGCCGGTAACTGGTGATATGTTCACGGCATGATTTGCCGATTGCCACTTTGATGAAAGTGAATTCCCTGCGTTAGGGGGAGGATTGAGAGAATCACCAAATGATATCACATGGTGTACAAAAACTTTGGCTTATCTTGATCCTCCTACAAACCAACGCGAGGTGGAAGTTCAGAAAATTATACATATACAAAGATTGGCAAACCAGTTACGGATGCATTCACTGATACAAGAAGGGTGACAAAGTCCTATATCCCCGCTGCTAACGCTCCATCAAAGATAAATGTTCCTGAAGAACATATTGATGTAAATAGAGCAAATGAACCGGTTCAGTTAAAGCGCGGGAGGCCAGTAGGATCAAAAGATAAAAATCCCCGAAAAAGAAAGAAATTGGAAGCAAATGTTCTGGAAGAACCAAATAAAGCCAAATGTCCTGAAGACATTTGTGAAAAGGTTCCTGAAGAACCAAATGAAGGTATATGTCCGGAAGACATATCCAAACCAGTTCTTGAAGAACTAGGTAAAGAAGTTTGTCCTGAAGACGAATCTGAAGCAGAAAAATATGAGATTTCCATCTCTTTCACCCAAAGTGGAAAATTATGGGCTAGAAGTGAAATAGAAGATAATGATGGAATGTTCTCTTTTTCTGTTTCCAAAGAGATTGATTATGAAAATGATGATCAAGATCCAAGTTCCATGTCAGAATGCCAAAGAAGGCCTGACTGGGATAAATGGCAAGTTGCCATGAGGGATGAGATATTCTCCCTTAATAAACGGAACGTATTCGGACCGATAATTATTATATCTGAAGATGTAATATCGGTCGGATACAAATGGGTCTTTGTAAGAAAGAAAAATGAGAAAAATGAGGTCACAAGGTATAAAGCTCGCCTTGTGGCACAAGGATTTTCTCAAAGACCGGGAATAGATTATGAAGAGACATATTCCCCGGTCATGGATGCAATCACATTCAGGTACTTAATGAGCCTAGCGGCCTCTAATAATTTAGAGATGTACTTGATGGATGTTGTGACTGCATACCTATATGGTTCACTTGATAGTGACATATACATGAAAATCCCTGAAGGATTTAAGATCTCTCAAGGATCAAAGATGCCTAAAGCATCTAAAGAGCTATGTTCGGTCAAACTACAGCGATCACTTTACGGATTAAAGCAATTCGGACGCATGTGGTATAATCGCTTAAGTGAGTATTTGTTGAGTAAAAGTTACGTCAACAATGCGATATGCCCTTGTGTGTTTATTAAGAAATCTGCATCAGGATTTGTGATTATTTCTGTGTATGTTGATGACCTGAACATGATTGGAACTCAAAAGGAGATTGATGATGCTAGAGCTCATATGAAAGATGAGTTCGAAATGAAAGATCTTGGAAAGACAAAATTTTGTCTAGGGCTCCAGATAGAGCATTTCCAAGATGGAATATTTGTGCATCAATCAAATTACACCAGAAGGGTGTTGAAACGCTTTAGTATGGATAAAGCGACCCTTTTGAGTACTCCAATGATCAATAGACCACTTGACGTTGACAAGGATCCATTTCGACCTTGTGAAGGTATAGTTCATCACTGACGCACCGACATTGGAATGGAATATAGCATATATTCCGTTATCTTCAAGGTTCGATTGAATTTGGATTATATTATTCTAGAAACCCCGAGGTTGGTCTAGTTGGTTTTGCAGATGCAGGATATTTGTCTGATCCGCATAAAGCTCGGTCGCAAACTGGATATGTTTTCACATTTGGTGGAACTGCGATCTCTTGGCGATCTCAAAAGCAAACTTTGGTCGCGACTTCTTCAAACTATGCGGAGATTATTGCGCTTCATGAAGCATGCAGAGAATGTGTATGGCTTCGGTCGATAGCTCATCACATACAAGAAGCAAGCGGAATAATCACAGACAAAGAACCAACAAAAGTGTTTGAAGACAATACTGCTTGTGTCACTCAAATTAAGGAAGGTTATATCAAGAGCGATAGAACGAAGCATATCCCTCCAAGGTTTTTCTCATATACTCAAGAGCTCGAGAAGAAAAAGGAAGTGGATATTCAGTATGTTCGTTCAAGTGACAACGCAGCTGATCTCTTCACAAAAGCGCTTCCTACTACAACATTCAAGAAACATGTTCATAGTATTGGAATGCGGCATCTACGAGATTTGTGAAGAGAGGATGAGATCCATCTTTTCCAAGGGGAGTTTGCTTTTGCTGTACTCTTTTTCTCTTTATCATGGTTTTTATCCCATTGGATTTTTCCATGGAAAGGTTTTTAATGAAGCAGCACGCAACTTCACAGCGATGCATACTCAGACGTCATTTCGAGGGGGAGCGCTACTACACTCTTTTCCCTGTCATGATTTTATCCCACACAAGTTTTTCCATGATAAGGTTTTTAACGAGGCAGTACATAATACATCTTTAGTGATGGATAATCAAGGGAGAGTGTTAAATGGATAATGATTATCTATTTGCTTTTGTCTTTATACATCATATTAAAGGATAATGTTTATCCATAAGTTTTAGATAATACTTTTTGGATAATGCTTATCTATATGTTTTGTCTTTATAGATTACCTTACTTCACTATGAAGTAAGGTTTTTTTTATAAATAGGTAACTTCATTCTTTATAAAACTATAAATTCAAAAGAAGAAAGCAATGAAGTTCTTATGTTCATCTTTCTCTCTTTCTCTCTGATGTTCAAAAGATCTTAAACTCTTATTTGCTTTTCTTTATAAAGCATAAGTTTACAACAATATCTAAAATATTAAAATTGTTGTAATAAATAAACTAATAACGTACAACAATTTCGTCAATTTATTAGACACTTGTATATTAACTCAAATGTTTGGCAAATCAGGAGATGCTTCAGGAGAAATTCCTTACCTCAACATGTCATTTTAGATTTTTGTATTTTGCCGTGGATTTCTAGATTTTATTCAAGATCATTTGTTGGATAATTTATTTCTGTTTTTGAAATATTGAGATTTATTAAATTGAAAAAAAGAAAAAGTTAAGTGATGGTGAATTGGTGATATAGTGGATACCCATGTTAGATTGATTACTCTTAAACATGTAATTACTTAAACTATTTTCATTTAGTCATACAGATATAAGTATTTATTTTCGGTCATTTGAATACCTGAAAATGGGATTTATCTATAATCTTTACCTTTCTAGGAATTAGGAATTAGTCTGACTTTTCGATAGGCTTCAAATTTTCTGAGTTATATCTATAAAATGGAAATGAAAATTTTTATGAAATAATTCTTATATTAAAATTTATGAATATATATATATATATTAATAACTAAGATAATCTAGTAAATTTTAGAGTTTAATGTTGTTGTTTTTATATAAAAACATATATCTTTTTAAAATCTATATACGCTGTGGGATATATTTCTAAATGTTGTAAATATTTTTAATATAATAAAATTATTTTTATAATATAAATAAGTATTATATTTATTTTTTATTAGTTTAAGTTATCTATTTATATGTTTTAAATCTGAATAAACATTATATATTCTTAATTTTTTTTTTCAAAATTATAATATACTATCAAATTTGTTTGTAATTTGTTATCTCATATAACGCAAATTGACATTTAAAAAAAACTGAGAAATCGCACTTTCCAACAAAAAAAAAAATTTATTTCACCTAGTCCCGCCAAAACCAAAAACATTAATTTTCTCGTCAAACCTGAAATTTTATTTTCACACTAAAACAGAGAAATTGCATTGTCCCGCAAAAACCAAAAAATCACATTTTCCTGCAAGAACCTGTGTTTTTCCGTCAAAACAGAGAAATCTAGTTTTTTCACCAAGACCAAAAAATTCATTTTCCTATGAAAACCGAGGAATCGTCAATTTCCGCAAAAAAAAAAAATTATCAAACTAAAAATCAAGTCTTCCTACCAAAACTGATAACCTATAATTTCCCGCGAAAACCAATAATTGCATTATCTCTTGAGCTATTGTGTTTTCCGCGAAAACTAAGAAATCGCATTTTACTGCAAAAACCAAAAAAATCACATTATATGTCAAAAACTGAAAATTTGCATTTCCCATCAAAACCGAGAAATTTCTTATTCTTTCCAAAATCGAGAAATTTCTTATTCCTTCCAAAATCGAGAAATTTTGTTTTCTCATCAAACTGAAAAATTGCATTTTCTGTCAAAATTGGCAAATTACAATCTCCCACGAAAACTAAGAAATCACATTTTCTTGCAAAAATCAAGAAATCACATTAGCCATCAAAAGCAGAAAATTTGCATTTCCAATCAAAACCAAGAAATCGTATTTTTTGTCAATTGAAAAGTTGCATTTCCCTCGCATTTTCTCGTCAAAACTAAGATATTTTGTTTTCACATCAAAATCAATTTTTTTTTGTTTTCTCACCAAAACCAAAAATTCACATTTTTCCGCCAAACCCGATAATTCATTTTTTTACGCCATAACCAAGAAATTATGTTTTCCTAGCAAAACTGAAAATCACATTTTCCTACCGAAACCAAGTAATTCCCTATTCCCGCTAAACCCATGAAAATTTGTTCTGAGTAACCATTGGGAATGCGAATCTCCAAGTTATGATGGTCTGAGCTTCTCCTCATTTGCTTTTGACTTCCATTTTTTTGTAAACTTTTTAGCTTTTTAATAGGTCTGCAAAATAGTAAACTGATTTTATTAGTGTGTTATTGATATGTATTATTATTATATTTTTATTGGTTCAAATTTTTACTGATGTGTGAGCTTCTTATAACATAAGGTTTTTTGCATTGTTGTTATGGAAACATACTTGATGATAAGCCTACACTTTTTCAATCATTACGTCTCTGTCGAACAAACAAATAGCTAAAAAAAAATTATTTATTTTCTGTTAATTATTATTAAGGTTTTGGATTTGACAAAAAAAAACAAAGATTTAATTTTTTTAATTTGCTGTTATTTATTATTTTAGCTTGGATTTGGCAAACAATAAAACAAAGATTTTTTTTATTTGCTGTTATTTATTATTTGGGCTTTAATTTGTTAAAAAATAAAATAAATTATTAACAAAAAATGTATTTAGATTTTTAATGGACTTAAATTAAAAAAATAAAATAACAGAGGAGTTGTATTAATGTTGTAATTTGATTGATTTGTAAAATAGCTGAGGTGTTAGCTTCTCAAAAATTAAAAAATCTGATATATCAATTTATGGAGAGACTTGAGTGTTATTGTTGTATTGATTTCTAATTTTTCTTATTGTATCCAAAAATTTAGTTTCTTTTAAACTAATTACATCAAAAATTTGTGAAGAATTTTAGACAGATAATTTCTACTTAAAAGAATTTAGCATATCAACAAAAGTGTTAACAATATACCAAGACTCAAATTCAGATAATAAAATATGCACTGAAAAGTCCAAAAAGGATTAGGGTTTGGACTTGCTAATTTGCTATATATAAAATATGCACTAAAAATTTATACCTAGAGAAAGTAGAGATGGCATCATCGCTGAGAAAAAGAATGAGAGCTTGGTATTGGATACGAAGAAGAAGAGTCACGGGAAAAGTCAACGATGATGATACTTGTGATGTAAGAAACATGATCGATGATCTACCTGAGAGCTTATTGTTGGTGGAGATCATCTCGAGGCTACATAACCCCAGAGATGTCATCGTTTGTAAAAGCGTGAGCAAGAGATGGAACTCTCTGATATCTTCTCCTTCTTTCAACCACAATCCCACCAGCTTGGCTCTGATCCTCAACACACATCCTCATTGTGCTACAAGCGACATAGGCTTCGACGGTTGAAAAGGTTTCCAGCTAAGCAGCTACATTGATCCCGAGTTTAGTTCTCCGGTTCTTGTTCTAGCCTCCTACAGAGATGTCTTGCTATGCAAGAAATTTTCATATTCTCGAGGTAGAAAGACGAACCATCTTAGGAAGCGAACACAACTCTATATTGTGAATCCTTTGACAATGCAATGGACCCGACTTCCTGAAACTGACGATGGGATGTCGGGGTCATGGCCTATTGGGCTATCAGGGAACGGGTCAAAGGGCGGGAGGTTCTATGTTGTCGAGCTGTCTTCGTGTACACCTTCTAAGCTTTGCCTCTATGTGTTGGATTCTAAGCGCGGTAAATGGAGAGAGCGTAGTATCGAGCATCAGCCTTGGTCACAACTTGGATGGTATCCAACGCAATGCCAAGCCTTGAGCTTTAACGGAGCTCTACATTGGTTAGCCCATGACGGACCTATTGTAGCTTATAGCCCAAACTATAGGCATGAATGCATAATCATCCATCGTTTACAAGAGATGCGCCATGCTTCTTATGGTGACGACGCGGTCGTCTCGGAGACGTTGACCGTCTCCATGGGCCATCTACGCATCATTCAGCTCGTTTGCTATCCCATTACGAGTGATGGACATCACCATCTCTCTATATGGACACTCGTGGATTACAGACAGTCCATATGGAAACAAGAACATGAAGCTACATATTTCAGTGACATGGTTTCTGATGTTCAATGGATACAAGACTACATGCAGGGTTATAATCTATCGACAGCTACCCGACACGGTATGTACTATGTCATGAAACGTTTCATGAATCGGCTGCCTCCTCCTGCGGGAACCAGCACACAGCGGACCATTCATCCAAAGCCTTTGCATTGCCATCCAAACAATCCTCTTCTCATTTACTTGTGTTTACCGGAGAGCATCGTCTTGCTTGATCTCGCAACAAAGAAGCTGCGGTTAATTACAAGCATTCGCTACAAAGTAGCTCTATATGAGAAGGTGATACCAATGACACTTCACTTAGATCCATCATTGATCCCGGACCATGAGCGTGTGCTGCTGCCACCGTCGCTGATGATAGGAGCAAGCTCTTTGTGATTCTCCCCAAGGCCGAATTCGCACTACAATGCCACTCAAACTCTGATTCGCCCAGGACGAGTAATGTAAAGATGAGCCCGGAGAGTCATCCCGGCCTGTTCCGTCTTTAATGTAAATATACTATATACTTATAATTGTTATAGGAGAAAAACAAAGACATACATTTTCATATTTAGAAATTAATATTCAAATCAACAGGATTTCACAATTTATAAGAGACAATCTACTAACATAATCTTTGAATAAAAAAAAAAAAAACCTTACAAACTTTTTACAACGAGTAAATTAAAGAACATATATTAAGAATGACGAGAAAGGAAAAAGAGTTATGAGGAAGACAACAAATCAGGAAGTCCAAAGGACTGTGTTCAAAGGTTGGATTGCCTTCTCCTTGATACTCTCTTTCTAGTAAGGAGTGATCTTCCTGCAAGATAAGTTAATGTTAAGTTAAAATTATGCTAAAATGTTATTTGTAATTTAAAATTCTGCATTTATGAGGGAAGGAGAGAGGGAGGGAGAAGGAGTTACGAGAAAGATATGTGAATGTTAAGTTCCTCTCGAACTCTGATTCGCTGCAGGAGGATACGCATTGAAAACCAGCAGGCTCGCGGCTCGCCAATGGTTAACCCCAAAAATATACTTTAACTGTATCAAAGTAATCCTCAAGAGTACAATATACTACCATTTCAAATATGAAATATTGATCAACACATAAGAGACTGATTCCAGAGAAAATGACATTGTTTCTTATTCACTTTGAAGCAAAAATGGCCTCTAAATCTCTGTAAAGTCCCTTAGGTCTTGATTTGTAATCTGATGATGACTCCTTAGAAGAGCTTCCACTTGTCTTTGTTCCCCAAATACTACTGCTCCAACCACTTTTGCTCCCCGAAGGATCACTAGGAACCTTACTATTGCTTCTGTCTCTCGTGAAGCTTGCCTTTGCCATTTCCCGAATATGTCTCAGCCATGGCTTGTCCAAGCTTCCCGAGCTTCGGCTTCCTGAAGAACTTATATACCTATTCTCCGGAGTTGAGAAAGCATTGCCTCCATTGCTGCTGCTTCTTCCTTCAAGCTGAGCTGCAGGGATCTTGTTCTTCATCAGTTTCTGAGGCAGGATTAACGCGGCAAGTCCAATGATAAACATCTTGAGACCACTCAAGAAGGACCTGTTGATCTGGTCCAACCGCTTTGTCTGCTTGTACAATGAGTACCATTCGTTGCACATCTGTGTAATGAACCCAATCAAGAACAGCACGACCATGAATACCCCGAGTTTCTTTCCGCTTGCTTCTGGAAAGTCCTTGGCCAAGAGCATTAGACACGAGGCGAATACACCTACTTGGCAAGCTATTGAGATGATCTCAACAAGCTGTACCTTTTTCTTGATGAAAGGCTTCTTCAGTAAAAGGAAGAACAGTTGAAAGGAAGTGATGCTCAACAAGACCACTATGGGAGTTTTCGAAGTCTCGTTGTCCAAGAAAGCACCAGCGATGATCCCCAAACAAACCCTCTTCACGGTTTCGAGAAACGTGTAGTAAATCCTGAGGATTCCAAACAGTTTCTGTATGCAAGGAGCTTCTGCATCCTCTGTTTCATCATCTGATGCGATGATGCGATCGTCTCGTTGCTTGAGAGGATTGCTTCCTGAGATCTGTGTGAGCATGTACTTTGGTGGACCCCTTAAATCTTCGAAAACCGGACCTAACCTAGTTAGATAGACAGAGCTCTCCTCTTTTTTCCATGTCCATTGGCCTCTTTTACCAGGACCAAGTGTCACTCGGATGAGTTCTTGGTACCAGTGGAAAGTCTCGCCTTCTTGATGAATCTCTTTATACTGTAATAACTTCCCAAATGTTATCCCGACAGAGAGGAAGAGAAACAACGCCAGAAGCAGAATAGCTACAACGCAAAGCACAAGGATACCAACAATGACATTGGCTTCTGCATCTCCTTTGTGTATAAAATAGCCTGAGAAATTGAGAGTTTAGTGTTAACAAAGATTGTCCAAATTTAAACAGATATTTTCATGGAACGCTGGTATAAACAGTACCTTGTATGAGGCTCCTCGCAGCTTTGCAGATTGAGGGTAAGGCAAGAATGAGAAGAAAAAGCTCAAATCTTGGGAAGACAAACGCACCAAAACTCCTCTTCTTCTCAGTGTGTGATTTCTTGAACTTGAGTATCAGAGAGAGGAATATATGCAGAAGTACCAAACTTCCTCCAATTATCGCTATCCAAAACATGATCCTGTTAAAATCTCTCCACCTACAAGAAATAAGAATGAAAGTTCAAACATTTATGGCATCTTCTTAATATCAATGTAAGAAACTAATGCTTATAGGGAACCTGCAAAAAAAACCTAGAAAGAAGTATAGACAAGGTTTGAAAAGTGACTTACACTGTTAAATGTGGTAGACCAAGAACGTGTTCTGCTTCTGGCTTAAGATTTGGGGTCTGTAAACAATCAAACCATACCAACACATGAACAAAAGAGTACTAAAAAACAGCGCATAAACAAAAACAAAGAAGAAGCTGTTGAGTTTCGTTTCTTTTGACCTCAAAGAATAATCTGTACTCCATCGCGGTGAGTGGCAATCCAAATACTGACTCAGCGTTAGTTGATGTCTGCAGATTAGTACTGTTGTTGTCCATCTTCGAAATGAAAGAATGTGGACCAATGTAAGGACTTGAGGCCACCATGATCTGTTCGTTGTGCTTAGTTTCCCATGGAAGAGGAAAGTAAGGGATTATCCATTGGATACCTCTCACAAATTCGTAGTAGTCATCAGGCAATGTCACAGGTAGCCATCTCGAGAGTGCAAAAAACTGAATGTGACAGGCAGTTCTCTGCATCAGAACCACAAAGGACACAACTAATTATGTGATTTTCAGGAAAAAAAAACAAAATGCAATATGTATAAAAGAGTAAAGAGAACTCATACGAAGAGATTCCTCGTGGGATCTGATATTAGATAAGGAGATGGTCTTGGAAAAGCTCCGAGAGAGTAAAGGCTTGTGGTTGAAAGAGTGAGGAGTCCCGCAACAAAAGATGTCACCAAGAAAATGTAAGTTGATACCCAAGAAATCACAGAAGAGAACACAGGCACAGAATCTGCAATATTAAGAACACAACATTTTGAAAAACCATTGGCAGAAGAAGCAAAACAACAACAAAAATTGCAACTTTAAAGCGGTTAAAAACGCTTACAATGTTTCACTTCTAAGATGTCGGATGCGAGATTTTTGTTTCCTGCGACATCCTGAGTAACATTTTCAGGAATCTTGACAGAGATTGTACTTGTGTTGGCTTTTACATATACAATGTATATGCTTCCGCTCAGTTCATCAAAGCTGAAGTTGAAAGGAAAACAAAAAGCTTAGCATCAAAACTGCAACTTTTTCATGGAAAAGAAAAATCAAGAAGTTAGAAGAAACACAAGACCCAAACTAACCTATCAAGATATCCACCTGAGATCGATACAAATGAGGAGTTAAACCCAAACACTGGCTTCATGAATTTTATCCAGACAGGGATGGTGTGCTTTCTTGTCCTCATACCAGATGTTGTGTTCAATACAACATGAGGTCTCTCCGTATCTAAAGATCATCATTCGCATACATGTTTCGTTCAAGGAGAGAAGCAAACACAAGAATCTAGCAAAACAAATGTATCACTTAATCACTCACCGTAAAGAAAAGTCAATGGTGCAGTAGGAGATGCAGGGGTCCCATGTCTGCTTCTTATTGAATTCGAGTTAAGTGTCACCGTGACTATAGCACGCCGTGATGTATTAGTGACCTGAGAAGAAAATAACAGAGTGTGGGTGTTTACATTAAACGAAACAGAATCATATAACCTTGAGAGAAAAAGCAGCAGAAGCACAAACCATAAAAGCAAAACGGCGATTCCCATTGGTTTTTCCATCAATAGGAAGCAAATCACCTTGGTTTGTGCGTAGTGTTCTAAGGATTTCAGCTGAAGAATTCAGTACCGGTTCGGAGAAATACAGGTAAACATTCAGCTTGTCGTTATCATTGGTTGCCTGCACTGTCCTAGTTTGGTTGTTTAGCTGCAGTAACTTCTCCGGGACATGCGTTCTTAGGTTCACAAAGACGTTTCTTCGATCTAGATACCAACAAAGTTCAAAATCAGTACCACTTAAAGCTCGTAGCCTTAAACAAAACCAGACAGAGAAAATAAAAGGATAAAGACACTCACCGAAATGGACAAAGAAACGAGAACCCAAAGCTCTTTTAAAACTGTTACCGGCTGTATCAGAACAGACACTCTTGTCCATGACCAACACAATCCTTCCATATTGAGCATCAGGAGATAATCCCACAAGAAGAGAGTATCTGAGATATTGGTCAAGAACAGTGAGTGAGGATGGTATAACTTGGCCAGCACCGTAGACAAGAAGCTGTTACACAAATTTAAAACCAGTGTTAAGAGTAATTGAGGAAGAAGATGAAAGCTCAAAAAGATTGTGATGGAATGTAAACAAGGTTACGTACTCACGTCGCAGGTATTCACAGATGAACATCTGAAACCTCCTCCACCAACACATGGCTCAGTAAAAGTGATATTAACAGACACGTTTTGTGCACTTGTAAACGGCATTGATGCAGTAACAATGGCTGTAGGAGAAACCGTATCTGCATACACAAAAATTCAAGCAATATAAGGACTAATTAATGGTTTTGCTACAAGGATTCATGCACTCTGCAACAAAGGGAGAAATGAGAGTACTAAGAGAAGCCACATAAACCAAACAAGTCTGATTTATCACAGACAATAAAAAGTTCCAGGAAGAGAATGAGAGAGGTGTAGGATTAGTTTCTTTACCAACAGTCCATATATAGCTGTTGCAGACAGATCCAGGCATCCTATTTGCGCAGACCTCAAGTGTATGATTCCCATCCAGCAACTTTGAGTAGGAAACTTTTCTTCGATGGCAATCCACACTAAAATGGTCATCTAGCTGCAGAGAACACATTGTTTTTTTTTTCATCAACAGGTGTGACTTGTTCATCTATAACTACAACTCTATGAAGATTCTTTAAATAATGAAAATCCTATCTTAACAAAACAGAAAGTAGAAATCGAAAACTTCTATTGTCACAGAAACAATGTGTTTGGCCATTCACAAAAGCTAGATAGGCAGTACAGCCAAACTTCAAATAAGTTATTACAGGTCTTGATTGCAGACTCAACACATAGAAATAAGGTTAACAGTCAAATTCAGAAATGGAAAGCTTTACAAGAAAAGAAAAGAAGAACCAACCTTGCAACGGAATTTGCAGCTTGAACAAGTTATATTTCCATCCTCAAAAGCTTGGAAGGAAAACTTGGCCGAGTCAAATCTAGAAGTAGGAGGAGGTGCTTTCAAGAACTTCACAGAGAGCTCTGAACCATAACAGTGATGAAACCTTAAACAAAAAGGGGAAAACACAACCAAGAAAAGCAAGAGAAGCCATGCACTTTTAAGCAGACCCATATCTTTAAAAGGAAGAAAAAGATGCAGGTGAAACCTGAAACTCCTTATGATTCAATCATTTAAGACAGAGAAGAAATTTATAAGCAAAACAGAGCTATAGTGAGTTTATTCTGGACAAAGTGGAACAAGACATTGTAGAGATAACGAGTTGGTGAAGAGGAAATGAGAGAGAGGCAGAGGATTAAAACAAGATGGATACTTGCTTCTGTGGTCTATGATGGCTGGCTGTGCAAGAGAGATAACGGATAGTGTATACATGAGAGCGATGGGAGATACAGTGATTGGAAGATAGAGAGAGAGAGAAGGAGAGACTAATTCCAGAAACAGACAAACTCTTGAAGAATTTATTATTATTCCAGGACTTGTCTATTGTGTTGTCTCATATGTTTATTAAAAACTTCAAAAACTTTGTAGTTTATGTAATCTTCTCTAGTAATCTTTTTACAAACTCTTTGCCATGCACACAGAAATAAGTTTCTTCAGACAAACTACAAGAAAAGACAAAATCTTTAGATGATGTAAAGGGTTCTTTGGGGTCTACACTCTACAGTGCCTGAAAAAAATTGATTTGTGAAGCTAATTGGTACAAGAAACGACCAAGAAGCATTGAAGTTTCCTCCTGCTTAATATTTAATACACATGGGACCATCGTTTTCAGATCAATGATGGAGCTTTTTCCAATAGACGACGGGGAAAACTCTGGGATTTTTAGGTGAATACTACCAAAAGATTATTAGTCTTACCTTAATCCTTTTAGCCAATCTTCTCTATGCTTGAGCCTTCCTTTCACACCAAATTAATTAATTTCAAGAGCAATGAGCAGCTAAAGTCACTCATTGAGACTTTGACGACGGTCGACGCACTCTGATATGGTTGATTTCTCCGACGACGGCGACGGCGACTGAGCCAACGAGAAGATTAAACTGATTCAGCATACGGCGTCGTATTCAACTCTCACACTTAAAAGACGCTGCTATTTTGGAATAGAGTATTGGTTTAGCTTAACCGTGTAATCAATCTTGGTTCATTTTGTTTGTTAAACCGAAACACTCATAGTGTACTATTTAAGCTTGAGATTATTCATTTCACTTCTTCTTCTTAGATTGATCGTTTTCCCTAATATCTTCCCTGAGCACGTGATTCACTTTCTCCCGTCACACAATTTTTATTCGTTTTATATGCATTGATGACATGTTGTATGTATTTATTGGAAATGTTGCGTGTGGCTTGTACCGTTACGTCACATTTACGAGCGATAGAGAATGAGAGAAATTGAGAAGAAAAGTTTGTTATAAAATATGTTTTCTTATAAGATTGAAAAGTATATCAAATCAAAAACCGGACAATTAGGCCATATTATACCGGTAGATATATTTCAAATTTTCAATATATAGTGTCTTTGAAGATGAGCGACAAATGTATTGAAGGCTCACTGTCGATTTGAGATGTGCAAACTGGTGAGTAAACTAAGGTTCCGTGAGTTTATTATCTATTTGATCATCGGTTCGTACATGAAACATTTCTTTCAAAAGGTTCTTATCTAGCTTTTCACAAACCGTATGACAATCCAATAAAAGATATCTGTTTCATCATGTGTAAATTTTGTTTGTTTTTTTCCTCATATATAGAACGACAGTAGTACCAGTAAATTTGAGATTTTCTAAACCCAAGCTTGAAGTATTAGTTCATTTTGTAACGCAAATATAAGTAGTTTGTGTTAAAATAATAATGATGAAGAACTTGTTTAATTTTCACTCTTTTCTTTCAGGCTTTAATGAAATATTACTAAGTTTAGTAACCCAACACGTAAAAGATGAGGTTTTGTGATAAGAATATAATGGACACTTTAGTACAACAAAGTCCAAACCATAGATTTAATTATGAATCAAAAGTTTATCATTAGTTTACGGTTTACCAAACATTTATTGTAATTAATTTGTCAGTATAGTCACAGTTACAATAGAGAGAGAATCCAGTGAAAGACACTGTTTTCGACCATAAAGATATCAACACTCAACCCTACTTTAATGGTTTTTTAACTTTGTAAAATTTTCAAAAGTTGCTCACATCTAATTACAATCAGATTTGTAAATTATATGTAATTCATGACAAGTGTGACAATATATAATAACTTCATGACATATACAATAGTTAAAAGGGTGATTTCATTTGGGTGAATAATCATGGAAGACTGTTTTCTTGTATCTTACAGACTTTTTCTTTAGTTAGCTTAAACGAATACTGATGCCCATTTATGATACCGACAATCATGTTAAGAACTAATTAAATTCAGGAAAAAATTAAAAGTAAGAACAACAAGTAGCTTCGTTTCATATATTGACCTAAAATAGTGTTTCAAAAATAGTGATATATAGATTTGGTCATTACTTGTGTATATATAGATACAAACCTCTTAATGAACATTACATAATCATATACAATTTAAATAAATGACTATGAAAAAGTGCAGTGTGTATTGATGATGGTTATAGTGGTAGTAATGACGGCTATGGGAGCAGAAGTAGAAGGATTGTCATGCGAGACCAAGTGCATGCTCAAGTGCGGTGGAATCTGGTATTTTGCAAGACCTTGTATTAACAAATGTGTATTCGAAGAATGTTACATACCTAAGGCCCCACCACAAGCAGAAAAGTAGTTAATAACATCTTCATTTATTACATTTGATTGCTTTTTCTCTTGTGTATAAGCTTGAGTTTGTGTTAATGTTAAACTATTATAATGTTTGCCTCTAAGAGACACAAATCTATCAAACTTTTTTGTGTGACAACATAAACGCAAAACACTTGCTTCAATTTGTAAATATTTTTAATAGTGAAAAAAATATGTTTTGGAAAATAAAACTAGTATACAAAACTTTTTCTTTTCATTTGAACGATTATACTCATATAGTCATATAGTCATATACATGTATTCTATTGCGTTGAGTGTATGGTGAAATTTACATGGTTTATATGGAATATTGCAGAATGAAAATTGAAGGCCATAGAAATGAGAAACATAAGAAGACAAGTACATCAATAAAATAATTGATATATATATATATATATATATATAGTCTTTCTATTTATTGATTAAATCCACCCTATACGTAAGCTATAGTTAAATGATCAACTAAATATAACAATCTAAATTTTGGCATCAAAAAGATCATTGACAAGGGTTAGACTTTGTAATGAGACAATATTCAATCGAGAAAAGGGAAGGAAATTCAGAAAATAAAAAAATATATATAAACTGTTAAACTATATGAGCTTTCAACCTAAAATTAATTGGCAGTAAGTGGATTGGTCCATGCTTCTTATATATTAGTTATAATCCCTTCTAACTTTCGATGTGGAATATTATTCCGATATGACTACTTTGGTCATTGATCTCGATATGTTCAAGATCGGGTTGGATTGTTTGGATCGGGCTCTGATACCATGTTAAGTTATATGGACTTCCAACCTAAAATCAAATGGTAGTAAGTGGACATGCTCTTTATATATTAGTTAGAATTCCTTCAAACTTTTGATATGGGATATTATCTCTAGTATAAGCTAGCATCGCTAAGTATTATTGTTAGAATAGATTGGGTACAATATCTGGGAGCTTTTACTAAGAATTTAGTACAATCATCATTATATGCTGCACTACAAACGACTTTATAGTCAATGTATTTTACATAACAAAACAATATTATTTTATTTATTTTCAGACAGATTATCTGCAACTTATTAAATTTGTTGATAGAGATGAGGATTGACCAAATTTCACATTATAATTAAAAAATTTCAATCATTTATGCTTTAGATTTACAAAATTTTATTTATCCTATTTACCTTATACTTATAATGTCTGTATTGATTTCTTTACAAAATGGGCTCGAGCCTGTGGTTTTATTTTCTCATATGTAAACACAATGATTCCAAATTGGTTAGCCCATAAAAAAAAGTAATTGAACTATTGATTTGATTAGTATTACTCTTTTGTTTGTAAAAAGAAAAAAATCTTCAAATTGTTAAACAAGATATACATTACTTATTCAAGAAAAATGATTGATTGAGTCTCAAACATATGCATTAAATATATTTATATATAATTTCATACTTCTTATGTTTCTAAATAATAATTGTTTTGACAAAAAAATTGTTTCAAGAGTTAGATGTTTTTAATTTTTTACGTGTAATTATTATTGTTTTTATTTAATTTAATTTTTAATATTTTATTATCTAATAAAATTTTAAATAATAATAAATAAAAATAAGATTAATAAAATCTTTTGAATTTTTTTCTTAATAACTATGAAAATTCAAAATATTCTTCTTAAAAAAAACAGAAGTGGTATTTTTCAGTCAAAAATTAACTTAATGACAAAATTAAATTTGGTCAACTTATTGTATATATATACGATTCCTATGACCGAGATTCAGTTATAATAACTATATGTTTACGACTATAAATAAAGAGTCATTCACTATATTTTATAATAAGTTTCATTACAAATTTATAAAGCAAATGTTGAAAAAGAAGAAGAGATCTAAGAATGATGAAAATGATAATAATGGTGATGATGATGATGTTGGTAGGAACCATACAAAGAGAATCACGTGTCGCCTGTGTGGAACATTGTCGTCAATGGTGCTTACCCAAACCTGAAGATAAAAATTGCATTCGCCAATGCATCTTTTTTAATTGTGGTCCTCCGAGTCTTCCTAACAATGTTCATCATTCCAGGTATATTTGGTTAATATACTTTTTTTAACTCTTTTCCTACATTTTTTACTTATGTGTAATGTACATGTGTGTATTTGTTCATATATATAGCTAATTGATATTTTTATTTTCAGCATATAGTTAATTATTGGTGATCAAAGTTTGACATTGTTTTTTCACATTTTGTGTGTTTTTAACAGGATGAAGGCTCCACAGAATCATTAAAATCGGAGGCTAAAATGTTATTGACTTTTGCACCTAATAGAAGCTATTATTGAAAATCAAGTAATAACATTATTGTTCGTATTTTTACAAGACACTTTGATGTTTTAGATATGTTGTTGGCTTATTTTATCGCTACTGATTTTAATAACACAACAATTTAGTTCACTTTGGTTTGATTCGCACATTTGAATCTGAGTGTTGCTTAAAATAATCATATTTTCGTCTAAAATTATATCACAAGAAATGCCAAACTTATTATATCACAACAAATATTACAAATTTTATGAGCGATAATTGACACATCAAAATATTATAAGACGCATTGTTTGTTTATTTTCCAACACAATCTGATATACATTTTGTATATTGTAAATACTAAAAACTTAGGATTACATATCAAAATAGTAGTATCTAACTATATTATTTTTTTCTTTTCCGAGACAACTTCATGTACATTTTGAATATTGTAAATACTCAAAAATTTTATAATGATATCAAAATAAATATTTAATTAGATTATTTTATAAGGGTAA